ATTGCATCAAATATATTTTTCTATCTGCTGTTCCATTTGTCTTGTGTAGATGTCTAATCATGCATGTTGTAATGTTATTAAAATCGATCGAATCATTTCTCTTTGTGAATACTCACATGAGTTGTCTATTTCGAATATGTACAGCCTATAAGTGTGGTAATATGACACGTTTTTATTATCTAATATTAATGTATTTTATCATCATTGGTTTCATTGTATTTGTGAAAACATAAAACCACTTCAGTATGATGCACGTGGGAATTCGGGCTATAAAGAAGGTTTAATACCATATTGTTTTTGCATAGTCAATGTCAGGATGATACTCAACTACGCTGTCTGTTTACAATTAGAACAGACACTAAGCAAGTTGGTCGACATTTTCAGAAATCAACGATTTAGTTGAAAACACTAAGTATTTGTCGAGAAATTTGAGAAGTATATATTCTGCTTTCATTAAATTTAATTGAAAAGGTTTAATTAGTCTTTTTGTGTGCAACAGATGTGAACCGGAGTAGGACCGCATTACAAAACAGTATACTTATTGTTGAAATTACTGTAATTTGTAAAGTTGATATCGTTAAAATTGTTAGTAATTAGGCAGTTGTCATTAAGTAGGTGTTATGTCATTAACGCAGTGGTTCTCAACCTTTTTTTGCCAACGGCACACCTTGGAACACATGAAAAAATAGCGACAAACTGACACCTGGCTAATATTTAGATTTTGCAAAATAAAAACATGGCAAGTCAGACGGCATACAACCGTAGACAGAGACTAGTCATAGAAACATAGAATGTCTTAAACTAAATAAAGAAAAACACATCTATGAACTTATCAGCGAATACTCAATTGGGATCATGTGGTTTTTCGCAGTTTCTTAGTGTGCCTTTCAAAATTCCGCGGCACACGTAAGGAAGATCTCACGACACACCTGTGTACTGCGGCACACTGGTTGAGAATCACTGCATTAAGGTGTTAAAACCGAGACTGTTGACTGATATACACCACTATTGTCCAGGGGCATGTTTCACGAAAATTTAACAAAAGTTAAAATCCAAATTTTAGCAGATACTTTATTTTTGATTGGCTAAGCACTAAAATCAATCTAATATTATCCAATCAAATTACTAAAATTTTGATTTTATCTTAGTTAAAATTTGATGAAACAGGCCCCCGGTTTGTGTATTCATCAGTGGTGCGTGTTATAATTAGTCAGGCTTTTACGCTACTAGTGGCATCTTTTACAGCTAGTTACACACATGCTAATTAATGACTACTGTATAATGCCTAACCACTTTCTATACATACTAAACATAAGTTAAGAATAATGATCACTTGTATACGTGATCAATATATACAATCTTAGGATGGGAGCCGTTCAAACATATCTGAACTAAAATAATAAATTCAATTTAAATATGAATATTGGTTTGAAATTCTTTAGATTATTATACACCAATGTATCGCATATCCCTTTGCAGACACTTCACATGGCCTATTTATTAGGAAAGGTCGATATTATAAAATATTAGCACAAAATAGAATATGTAAAATTATGCTATGAGTCTGTGGAAGATGAATTTCACTTTACTCTATGCTGCAAATCTTTAAACCACTTAAGAACAAAATATATCCCTAAATTTGATTCATTTAACCCAATTGTTTATAAATTTAACGAATAAATGTCTACAAATAATGGAGATCTTCAAGTTAAATTATGTAAATATGTACATGAAGCTTTCAAACTTCGCAAATCATTACTTTGCTTTTGGAACCGTTACTTTTCACTTTTATGAATTTTTCTATGTTTTGTGTTACCATTGTTGTACGTACCATGCTTAAAAGCTAGAATTCTATGACTTACAGCTATATGAATAAAAAAAATTGAAACTTGAAAAACTTGTATGATTTAGTGACGAAAAATGTCCATAAGTTAGTGGTATCAGCTTACGGCGGCCATTTAGGACAGAGATCTTTTCTCGTAGAGTAGATAGTTCTCTGTGTGCAGAATGCACCAGGAACTCCCTGAATTAGGTCAAATTAAAGTGCTGAATTGGGGATGACCTGATATGATGTTTTAAAGACATTAGTCATAGTCGCGGAAATCTGTTTACGAATTTTGGCAGATTAAGCGGAAGTCGTCTAGTTTTGTTTTGGGTTAAACTGTTGACAAAACCGGCCATATCTTAACATTGGCTGTAGCTGTGGGCCTGAAATTTTAAACGAACACGTCTACCCACTTATAATCAATGGGTTGACATTTTCTATTTTCGCTCTGTGTTATTATTGATATTCCCCGGCTGATTGTAGTCAAAATTATTTTTTTAATCATTAAAGTTGAAAAATAATGTTCAGCACCATGTCGTACACCTGAAAAATTAAATAAATTGGAGTGTAAGAAACTATATTACGATTGCTTATTTAATGTAATGTTGTAAAATGAATACTTGGGATGTCTTCAAAAATTTCAAGAAACTCTACTCAGATTTTATTTAATGTAATAATGTTATTTATGTAATAAAATGTTGAAAAATAAATTAATACGTTTCTGGTACTCCAATTATATCGTGAAGATGAAGTCGTATCTAGAACTTCAGAGAGAGAGAGAGGGGGGGGGGGACGTTCACACGACACAAACTGGGTCATTTCGGGACTAACAATATGGTTCAATTTCATTTCAATAATTTGCTTGCGCGTAGGGGTCTTGGCTCAGTGACAGATATTGTGATTTAACGTGATCGCGTTACCCCCCCCCCCCCTCCCCAACCTGAAACATTTAGACACCGAATAAAGTCTACATTAGTACACAAATTGCACGTAAGTCTTGTGTCTGCTGTATTTCTAACATTCGTAACAGTTTTCAAAGGAACGTTTCAGTCTCTAGTAATTCGTCGGGTCTAAGATCCGTACATGTCTATGTAACTATCTCATCCACATTTTGCCTGAACGCTTCGTCAGTTAGACTTTTTATCGACCTTTTTTCAAATTTTCACTGATGCTTTAAAGGAGCCCTATTCGATTCAAATTTTCAGATCGCAAATTTCAGAGTTATCCCCAAATTTACGGTCAAATATATTTATGATTAGAGACATTGAATTGTATTGATATATTTACAGAATGTTTGTAGAGGTTCTTATATAACTGGTTCAAAGGGAAGAACCATGGAAATTCAGAAATTTTTCCGTCGCAAATCTCAGAGCAACTCCCCGACCCCTATATTTACGTACAAATCTAACCCAAGGAGGAACTCTATCGTAATTCATAAAAGTCAGCAGTCAAGAGCTATGGTACCCACTTCACAGAAACTTTCGTCATTCCTAACTCGTTGGCGATAATGTGCTCAACCTTCTCATAAGAAATACCCTTGTCGAGTGGGTCGATCAGCCACAGAAATCATTTGGTTCAAAACTGACCTTCAAAGTGGCTTCTCGTTAGCTTTTTCGTTCAGTACCCATTTCGTCATTCAAAATATTAAATTATAATGGTACTTCTCAAGAGATCTGGAAATGTACAGTAAACAAGAGACATGTTTAGATACTAGTTCATTCTTAGTGTTCATTGGTGTTCAAAATCAACGTTCATAATATGAGCGGGATAAATATCTTCTTGACTTTTCAAGAGATCTGGAAATATAAATCGAAAACACGGTAAATCAGAAACATGTATAGATATTAGTTTATTTGTAATCTTCATCAGAAGATTCAAAATCGAAGTTCATAATATGAGCAGGATAATTATCTTCTTGATGACTGATCAACATCTAGCATATAACCTTTGGATTTGCTTCAGATACCCATTCACATTGTATATTTTCATTTCAGCTGTGCATTTCAAGGGGTGGGGGGGGGGCGAATGGTTAGCACTTGCGTGGTTTCGATTTCCTGGTTGTACGTGACATAGAGTAGGGTCGCCTGTTGAAGCTCGTAGATTTTCTTTTTCAAGATAATTCCAAATTTCTAACAATTTTAAAAGAGCTGGGACAGACAAATGATGTTTCTGATGACGTAATTGCTGGTTTAGAAAAAATTGTTTGTACCACATGTGACGAAAGGCGACTTACATCAGTAGATGACACTAGAAAAAAGATTTTCTGGGGGAATTTTAACCGTGATGAAAAATGAATCCTTTCTGTCTTTATTACCATCTTGCCTGCATAGTCTTTTGCTGCACATTAAACGCAGCAATTATGTTGCAACAATATGGAGACAATCTGCAAAACCAATGATCGATGAGATGACCTTAGCTGGAATGAAGATTTACGATGTGAATAGGTATCTGAAGCATATTTATCCCGCTCATATTATGAACTTTGATTTTGAATCTTCTGATGAAGACTAAGAATAAACTAATATCTAAACATGTCTCTTGTTTACTGTGTTTTTTTATTTACATTTCCAGATCTCTTGAAAATTACTATTATAATTTAATATTTTGAATAACGAAATTGGTACTGAATGAAAAAGCTAACGAGAAGCCACTTTTCGGGTCAATATTTCACCCCCTCCCACCCCACACAATGGGAATCTTTTACACATATTTAGAGATGTGTAGCGGCATTAAAAAGTAATGTTGATTATTTCCTTACCTAATTTTTTTTTAACATTTTGTTTTTCTGTCTTAACCTATATAATTAATTTAATCTTTGTTGATATTTTTTTAAGATTCTCGGTCTCTATTATTTATTTCTTATTATATTATTTCGTTTCGTTATTTGTAGACCAAATTTTGAAAATTTTAAAATGGCTGCCTCCAGTGGATTAAACGTGGAGGCTAAATTTATCGACTCCTCTAAGGTATTTATCGTCTTAAATTATCTAACTTATTGTATAGTAATGAAAGTAATTACGCCGGTAAGAAATAGCACCAATTACAGTTTAATTTAGCTCTATTCCTAAGGAAATAAAATATGAAAATATCTGGAGACAGAGTATCTCGTCGAGGTGAACATTGCAAGGGGAGTAACTCCCGTTATTATTGATTTTGAAGTTGATTTATTTGTTGATTGCCTATTACTGAAACCATATTAAAGGATTATTAATTACTGGCTACACCACACAGATTACAAATCAGCAATCTTTTTTTCGTCAAAGATTGTATTTTTATTAGTTCTCTGAAATTCAGCGCCATCAACTACTCAGCTCACTGATATGAATGATGTGATATGTGCACCTCTCACCACTGAACTAGACTAGACTAGAGTTAGTTTTAGTTAGGTGATGTTGTAACCTGTGATTATCGTTTCCAATTTGTTTCTGTAAACCAGAACTCTCAGTAATTTAAAACTGACAAAGGGATATGATGTTGAAAAACCAAGAAGTTCATGTTATGTCCAACATAGGATTTTGTGGAGTATTTCATTGGAGTTGAAGTTGAATGTACATTAAAGGGCCAATCCTAATTATATTTTAGAAAATAAAACTGCTTAATTTTGTGTTAAAAGCCCTTAAAATTGTCTACCTTAGGGCCGAGCAACTGACTCAATATATGTGATACGTTTTCAAACAAATTTAACCCGTCAGTCTTCATATGGAAAAGGAGGCCGGTGTTCCAAGCCGTATTAATACGGTGCCTGGATAAAAACTAGACTTTTTATTTTATAAAAATAACGTGTAGGTGAAATTTACCTTTCGTTATCAAGTACAGTACATTTTTCATGCACTGTTGAGACCTCATAAGGAACGAAAATAGATTATCAGGTCACCCAACGAAAAAATTGACCCAAATCTTAAAAGAGTTACCGGATAAGAGGTTTTGATGTTCAGTAATGTTCACGTCCAAACGACTCAATATTTTGAGCTAAAATTTTGAGGTACGGTAAATACATGTACACCATTAATTCCTCTATATTGGTGGTTAAATTTCATTTCTGAGACTGTTAAATTCGGAATGGTCCCATTAAACTGAAATGATTACAGTATTGAACTGAACCCTTTCCTTGTCTCAATAAGTTGTTTCTCTGGAGATTGAAGAACCGTCAGTTATCCTTTGATTATTTAGTAAGAATATATAGCTCATTGTTCATTCTTTATTTATAGGGACGAGGACTCTTTTCCAAACAGGATATCAAAGAAGGTGAAACTATTTTAGATGAGACACCCCTTGTTTCCACACAGTTCCTATGGAATGAACTTTATAAATATCAAGCATGTGAATATTGTTTACGATCTATAGAAAAAGCTGAAGCTATGACCAGGCGATTGGCTAATAATCCAGCTTTGACATTACCTTTCCCAGAATGCTGTGAAGTGAAAACAGAACAAATTGTTGTTTGTCCACAATGCCAGGTAAATTGGGATAGAATAAATAAAGATAATTAATAAGTAAGGATTCCTTTACTTATTTTGAGTTGAAGATTTGATCCTGAAACTTTTTGTAGAAAAAGATAGGTTGCGAAACATACGCCCACAGCGGCTAAATCGTCCAAGCGGTCGACAAGGGTTGTCGCATATTTATTCCTTTGTAGGTAATTGGGGGCCTTTACAAGACAGTTCCATATAGATCGGATTATAATTTTTGCCGTTTGAGGGTTCACAAGGTTCTACAAATTGAAACAAGGGTCTCAACTCTGGAAGTAATCTACAGAAATTGTTAAAATTTGACAGGCTTTTTCCTTTCACATCAATCGAGCATTAACAAGGTTGAACAAAGTGAAACAAGGGCAATAACTCTAGAAGTAATAAACGGAAATTGCTGAAATTCAATAGGATTCTTCTCTTTACTAATTTAAATGACGCTTGTAAATTTCATACAGATCGGCAGATAACTTTTGATGTTAGAGCATTCACAAAGTTCAATAAAGTGAAACAAGGGCCATAACTCTAGACGTAATAAACAAAAATTGCTGAAATTCAATAAAATTCTTCGTTTCACTACTTTAAATAATGCATATAAATTTCAGAAAGATCGGGGGCGACGACAATATACGTCCACATTTCTATGTGGGCGTATAAAAAGCCACATAGATGTTATAGTGTAATATTTGTGCTAAAAGACATGGGATAAAATAATTCAATGAGTTTACCAATTTTCTGTTGTGCAAGGTAAAATTAATGTAGCATAAAAACTCTCTGGCAAGGAAGAGTGTCTAGTCTTTCGGATGGTAAGAAAAAATGACGTCCTGTGTACACCTTGGCACTCATTTAGAGAACCCTTGTGAGTCGGAATTCAATTGCTGTTCGGGCAAAATTTCCCTCATAGACAACATGGCATATGACCATCTTTATTAGCCTTTGGAGCAGAATGAAACGGATGTTAATCCCTATTTCATTCATTCATAAGACCAGAGTAATAAAATGTATCGATAAGTCAGAAGGTCTTTGGGCTACTTGATTGAACCTTCCAAAATTCAGTTCTCTCAATCCCGCAAAATGTGTCAAAAGAGTATTCACAAAGATTTTGGGTGACTATATGTATGCCAACTGAAGTGTCAACCAATCACAATTGCCGGAACATTTGAATTTGAAAAAAACATTGCTTTTACTATCTATTTATCATTTGTTCATATTTATTTCAGATGTTATATTGCAGTGAAGAATGTCGGAAGGCATCATGGGACAGACATCATCAAGTTTTATGTTTAGGTTCATCAAGTCAAGATTCAGATCATCCTCTGGCTAGATTACAAGAAATATGGAGGTAAAGTTTTTAGCATCATTTGTATTTAGTAACTGATTACCCATTCACTGATAATAAAAAAATAAGGCATGCAATAAAAATAAATATATCGATAAGAATGTATCTCTAAAGTTTATATGGGGTCTTAATTAACTTAACTATTCATCCACTTACCGGTAAATGTAATGAAAAAAATACTAAGCTTAGAAAGCTAGAATATCTTATCCAAATATTATGTAACTGTAAGCTAAATGGCTTCCAATAATAGAGTTTATCTATATATTGCACCACATGTTTGTTAACCAATCATTATTTGCTTGATAACGATACCTGCATGAGTGTTGAAACGTAGCATGTTAATAAAATTCAGAAGTAGTACATCCATATAAGTGTTCTAATTTATATGGGGTCTTAATTAACTTAACTATTCATCCACTTACCGGTAAATGTAATGAAAAAAATACTAAGCTTAGAAAGCTAGAATGGCTTCCAATAATAGAGTTTATCTATATATTGCACCACATGTTTGTTAACCAATCATTATTTGCTTGATAACGATACCTGCATGAGTGTTGAAACGTAGCATGTTAATAAAATTCAGAAGTAGTACATCCATATAAGTGTTCTAATTTTTTTGTAACTGTAAGTGATATACTGGATTGGGTTGTCCTCTGATTTAATTATTATTTTGTCGTTCATATTACATTGTTGAATTCATAATGTTTCTTTAGGATGACGACATTTGAAAGCCAAAAAAAAGTTCCTTTTATAATTTTATTTTGCTCAGGAATATACATTATCCTCCAGAAACAGCTAGTATAATGTTAATATGTAAAATGATTGCTATGGTAAAACAGACGTCTGATCCTGGTTCTATGGTTCATAGTTTTAATCAGTTTGTTAAATCTACGGTTAATGAAGAACAGCAAATCGCTCATAAATTATTAGGTCAAGAATTTAAGGTAAAAGTTATTCTTTAACAATACCGTCCGCACTCCATTAAATTTAAAGCCAATCAAATCTCACAATCACTTGTAGGTCAAAATTTAGTCATCTTTGTGATGTGTTGGAAAAATCCTACAATTGTAATTATTTAGAAAAATGTACCAATCGCTAGGCTCATAAAATAAAAAGGCGGCTTTGTGTTTAGAACTGTAGTGGAGGAACTTTATCATCAGTAGTGCAAAAGTGCTAATTTATTACAAAATGGTGTTTCGACACTGACAATAAGCTCACAAAAGGTACAGATTCGTAAAATATATTTTTGGACATGAAACCGATAAAGTATAACAGCTGAATGATCATGTGACCGACTGTAAACAAAGAAATTCTAATACAGTTGGTAAACAGATTTCTAAACTTTATACATATTCTGAAAGCCAATTAATGTAGGATCCTTTATTTTAACAAGCACAATTAAAATATTTTTATATAATTTCCATTTATTGATAAATTTTTGTATCATATTTTAGGATCAGTTAGAATTGCTACGATCTACAACGGCAGAAATTCTATTTGATGATTCAATACAACAGGTATGTACTACAAACATAACAAAATTAAACCCATCTTCAGGATTTTATTGGTCAAAATAAACTTGTATTCATCAAGGTGTACATACAGTACATGTAACAATAGTACATTTTGGCTATGTAATGTAAGAATTAGTAATTATATAAGTGAATGAGATAAATGTAGAACCTTGAAATGTAATGTATTTGATAAGTCATTTAGCTCCTGGAGCCATTGACAAAATATAAAACCTGCCTTCCCATCGGATTTTTTTTGAAAGATTGTCTTTGAACCTAAATATATTTTGCGTATGGCCGTTTATCTCAAATTGTGTTAAATTTTGAAAGAAAAATTATATGTGACCTGTAGTGGTAAAATGAGTTGGAGTGCGCAAAATCTAATAATGTGCTACAGACAAAATATGTGAAAATATTGATTTTGATCGAAATTGAGATTTTCACAAAAATTAGGCTATAAATATACTATCTATCGACACAAAAGATCAAAATAGCAATAAAACATTTTAAAACACCTAGTTTATAATTACCAATGATAAGGCCATCCACAAATCATTATTTACTCCGAATAATAAATCCAAGCAGTGATTATTTGATATCTCGTTTCGTCTTTAAAAAAAATAATTGAATGCCCGATTCAGGACGTAGGACGTTAAACCCCATTTCATTTCATTTCTGTACATCAAATTGAAGGTATTGGGTTGGAGAACATGAAAATAAAAATAACTCAATTTTCAAAATTTCCTCATTGCAACTCATTACCTGTATGTCAGCACGGGTCACATATGGCTACTTATTAATGCATTCATGAATGTCCAGTAAATATTATCACTGTTACAAATCCCCAGACATAAATATATTTTATTATAATTTTTCAGTGGTTTACACCAGAAGGTTTTCAGTCATTATTTGCTTTGATAGGAACAAATGGTCAGGGTATAGGAACAAGGTATGATATAATTATTATTGCCCATTGATGTGAGTCAAGATCTGTCATCCATACAAGTTGTGAGTTCCAACCCTAGCTTTTTCCAGTTTCCTCTAACTGTTTAAAAGCCCCTTGCACATATAAATTAATAAAGTAGACAAAAAAGCTATGGCTCTCTGACAGTCACTGTGACTCAGTGAGTAAGACAATAGCTACTAATCAGGATTTTCCAGTCTGCTTGCCCATTGTCAGTGGTGTAGGATGGAGTGCCTAGCATAGAAAAGTGTCAAAATCAGTCGGATTGAACAAAAAATCGATGTACCATGTATAGGACTGGAAGATTTGATTAGGCCCACTCTAGGGAAAATTACTAAACAGTCTATGAGGGTGGAATACCATTAGTTTGATGAATGTCATTTATATTATTTAGGGTTTGCTTAAAATAAGTTATATATCGACCATCTATTGAAAAAAACTAAATATATCTGCATTTTTTGGCCACAGCTTTATCTGTTGGCCAATTCATTTTATAGTCATGTTGATTTACGGATGCAGATATAGATAGAAGCTTTATGGTTATTCAGTTATTCTACATGATAGATAGGGGCTAACAGTAAATTTTCAGTTAGATTTCTTTAATTCTATGTTTTATGAAAATGATGATTACAGTATAGTATTTTGAGAATTCAGTTGTTATTGTTTTATATATTTAAGTTCAATTAGCGTGTGGGTTAAAAATTGTGATGAGTTGAGTTTACCAGAAGATAAAAGAAAGGAATTGGATGATTTTATAGATAAAATGTATGAAGAATTAGAAAATGGTTTGTACATTTATTTTATTATCCGAACATTTATGCATGGGTTATGTATGCAATTATGAAAAGGTGAGAACTATAACTCTTATTTGAAAACCTCTTGTAGAATCGACACTCAGTAAAAAATATCTGCTGATTTGCTCATTTTGGTAAATTCATCAAATTTATCTATTAATTAGTTTTAAAATCACCTTTGAAAAATCCAGAAGGTTCGTTCTTGTTCCATGTTGGAATTGGAATATGGTGTTCTAGCCTTATAACCACTGCAGCACCCCAGGACTCAAATGAGTTAATAGCTAAATAGCTTTAAAGGGTGTATAGCTCTATTCTTTGGAACCTTAAAATAGACGAAAATTGGTCTAGAAGCACATATTAATGTGATATTAGTGTATATAAAGTTATTTCATTCAATTTGTATCTGTTTTAATGTATTTTCTAATTAATTATGTCCTGTGAAATTTGTTTATAGTCCCAATTCAACGACAGTCGTTTGTGCCAGCTTAGTTCATTTTACACAGGTTTTTTTCAAAAATATTTTGTCGCTTGTGCATCAGCCATTTTTAATTACTTCAGTATTGTCTTGGGGGACATGTGTTTCTTTGCTCAAAACCATAGAGTACTTATTTTAAAATGTTTAGCGTGTCTCAAATATTAAATATTGGATATCTTTTCCCTGTTTCTCGAAATCTTAACTAAAGGTAAAATCCACATTTTAGTAGATACTTCAATTTTGATTGGCTAAGCACTAAAATCAATATAATATTATCCAATCAAATTACTAAAATTTGGATTTTATCTTAGTTAAAATTTCGTGAAACAGGTCCCAAGATCCCATATCTCATGGTAAGACAACAACATCAATATTGATTGAAATGGCCCAAAACTGAATTCTAATTTGTGTTTTTAATTTCAAATGTTATGGATGATATTGAGTTAGAGGTTATTGTTCTAATATTTTGTAGAAGCTGGTATGTTTTTAAATTGTGAAGGAGCAGGTTTATATCAGTTAACTAGTAGTTGTAAGTACTTTTACACTACTTGTTTTAACATATGCTAGTCTTCTTCACCAAGGAGCTCCAGCTTCTGAAATCAGAATCCAAATTATAGTTCTAATTAGCTATAAATAGGAGTGAGTGATTTACTCTGCGATATCACCTCGGTGGAAGCGGACGTAAAATACAACTAACAAACAACAACTACTCTTTTTAGAATACTTCTCATATATTTGAGAAATGGCTAATATGTTCCACTGTATTCTTGAGGTGAGTCCACAAGTATATTCATTGGCTTCTTTGTTTGAAGCCATTAAAAAGAATTCTTTCTCTTGCCAGTGGCAAGTAAAACTATCTAGTAGTTGAGATGGGGCGAAGAAATGACATCACATGTATGTATACCATTGGCAGAATATTAAAGATTGTCTGATAATTGGAAATCCAAATAAAAGTAGACCATAAAGCTGCTTTTAGGACAAAATTTGTCCCATAGCGCTTTGCATAGTGTCTACCCATTTTACTCATGTTTTCATTCATTTCAGTCGAGAAGTAAGATTTTTACCTACATAATAAAGATTTTGTTATTGTTAGCTATATGTGTGTGGAACAAACAAGTCAGCAGTATTAAAAAACATTTCATTTAAAGGAAAAAAATTGAAATATATATCAACTTTTTGTTCCAGGTAATCATAGTTGTGAACCGAATGCTAGTATAACCTTTCCATATAATAATCATATATCATCATTAGTAGCACTTAAAGATATTCATCCAGAAGAGGTTTGTGTATTTATCAAATTTAAAATCAAATCTCTTTGTCAAACATAATCAATTCCAATGTGATCAAAATCAGATGTTAATTTCTGAGGTTGTACATTGACGTATTTCCTGATCATGTGAACTAACTGACCAATCAGATTATTCCTGTAATAGATTTTCAAGGCTCTGTTAGCACAGGAGGTCATGGGAAACTAGGTTATGGAAACAAATTGAGCACGCATACCTGATAAAATCTGTTTTTGTTCCTCTTCAAAGTATGGCAATAAATTAAATAACTACCACAGGCTCAAATCTGTCAATTTGAAATATTTTCCATTTAGGGTTTTGCTGAGAGGTTCTAAATATCACACCATCTGACGGAACTCATTGTAGGAAAGAAGACAGAGAAAGAAATTATTGATTCTTATCTAGCCATATCTAAAACGAGAATCTGGTATACATCGCTCATACACATTGATTTCTATGTACAATTATATACAATCAGATTAAAATACAGATCTATATTTCATTTCCGTTTTTTTATACTTTCGATGGCCTACACTACATGAAGATCTAACTAGTTATAGTGGGGGTTCACATCAGGGGTCAAACGAGCGGCTTTTGACCCTAATCTATGACGTTAGACATTGATTAATCAATTGACATTGACGATTCTAGTGGTTTACCCACAGTTCCGTGCATAAAAACGGTGTAACTCGCCGTAACAGACCGTTTCATTGGCTAATTCCTCACATCAAGTAGAACGCCAGTTACATAACAACTCTTCAAGATCCTAGTGTAGTAACGACAAGTAAAAAAACAAAATTTTGAAATATAAAAACGAAACAAAATAGGATCTGTGTTGAATTATATAATAATTATTACTGCTGCAGTGATGTGTAAATTTGAAATTATAGTCAGTGTGTTAGTTAGCACACAAACTGACAAACTCACAGGTAACCAAAGTTATTGCCAAATTCTCAAAGAAAATCTCTTGTTTGTACTTTCAGGAGATATTCATCAGTTACATCAATGAATGTGAAAGAAGCAGAAGTAGACACAGCAGACAAAAAATCCTGAGGTAAATCTTTATAGAAAAACAATTTGTTATCAAACATCTAAAATTGAATTTATTTATTTAATTTCTAATTGTAATATTAGCAAAACATTAAAACTGAGACTGATTTTTAAGAAGGGCTAGCTGACCAGGAATGTATGCCTAGTTGTTGGAAAATCGACGAAGAGTGGGTGCAAACAAAATTCTTCTACCTTGAAATGTAATTATAAAGATTGCCACTGTAGCCTCCCTTCCGCTGACAAGAATTGTGGACAATTCAGCAAACAAGGGGCATACATGTAACTCGAAAAATTCAAAAATCCAATTTTGATGAAAAGAAATTAGGGATCCTTGTCTTGTCATAATACTAGTTTCCTGAAAGTTTCAGAATAATTCAATAAAAACTGTAGCCTCTAGAGCACTGACAAGAAAGTGTGGATGGATAAAAAGCTGATTTCAATATACGGCCACATTAACATTTGAGCTTATAAAAATAATATTTTTGTCTCAAAATGACCTAAGTATTGTGTTGACGAGACATTCCATTCTATTAGTGGTCCAGATAATAAAGCTGCTGGTTGGTATGTGTACAAATTTTCTGAAAATAGGTTGTTATGTCCTGAAGGGCCATACTTCTGTGTCAAATAAAATTATCAGATTTTATTTTTATATTTTGCAGAGAGAATTATATATTTAATTGCCATTGTAAGAAATGTAATGATGAGGCAGATCAACCTGATGTTACTTCAGAAGAAGATATGGAATCTGATGAAGAAGCAGATGAAATGGATAATAATTAAATAATATAACCAAAAAATAAATATATTAAATATTAAAATATTATTTATAAAACAACTTCTGTAGTTTTTTATTGTTTGTGCATACACTGTGACCTCAGACAACCCTGCATTAATCTTTAATCGTAATACTTAGGGCATGAGGGGAAGGGGAGCATCACAGTGTTTTTTCCAGTGCTTGATTTACCATGGAAGCGAATGGGTTTTATAACATCTGCAGCAGCTGCCTTTCTTGTGATGCATGTTTGCCACTACCCCCCGCCCCCAATTTCCAGTCCATATACTTTATATAGATGAAAAACAGCGTCAATATTCGTCAATATATAGAAAGTATATATCTAAAAAAAATAATACCGTAGCATTGCATTAGGATTAAATTTTATGGAATAAATGCCTTACTTATAAATTAGATCTTTAACTACTACATAGACTATATTGTAGACAGTACCGGTACCTACAAAATATTGAATAAATAAAAAATTAACAAAACTGGTTAGGTAACATGGTTACATTAACCTCACTCATGTCATTTGAAGTTGACATACTGACACAGTTTCTGAAGCCCATTAATGCCAGAATAAATATCACAAAGTGGAGAGATTTAAATGAATGTGAAATTTATAAAATTCATGACAAGTTTGCCAAGAAAACAATCAATTCTGTTACATTATTTTCCTTTGACATAATACGAACAGTTGCCTAATATGTAACGTGATATTTTTTACCCTTTAAAAACTATTAATGGGTAAAAACAAATAGGTCTGCAAAACAGAACTTGATGATGCAATGATAATTTGGCAACCTTTAGCTTTGACCTGGCAGCCTGTAGACCAATCAAATTATTTGTATTTGACTGCACCTCCATAATATGACCTTGAAACCACAAAAGGTTGAACTTCCGGTTTACGTTTTAGAAAATCAACACAGGTTTCTTTGCTCTGTTTATATGCACGTGTTTGTTAATTTTAAGGTAGGTGTAAATTGGAGCTTTTTAATAATTTAGTTAATTACATTTAGGCTCTTTGTTTAAAGATCTGTGTCTTATCATTCATAGAAAAGCACTTGATAACACATGGTGTACCGACCCGTATGCAAGCTGAAGCTAGCAAGCAATACCAGAAATAAAAATAACCAATTTTTTGCATAATATAAATATGAGTGTTAAAGTTTGTAGATACCGGTATCTAAATTATTTTTATATATCTAATAAAAAGAATTTGGTCTAGGTTGACATTTTCCAATATTGCAAAGAACAGAGGGTAAGATGATGTCAAACTCAAGATTTCAGTTACGGACTCATTTTTTGACCATTATTATTTATACATTTATTTAGGTAAAGAGCTGACAGTTCTAGCTATAATATAGTTAAAAAATAGATAATGAAAAGGGAATATATTGAACATTTCAGTCAAATTACTTACAATAAGAAACAAAGTATTGGTTATCCATTTTTTACTAATTAAATTAATCCTTTGAAAATCAAATCATCCAATGATCTAGGGAGTTGATTATGAGCTTGACATGTGCATAAATGTCTATTTGAATTAATTTAATGATTTACATAACTTTTGAGGCCAAACGAAAGATCGGCAATGGGCAGGTTTAGCTCTTACATAATTTATCTTTAGCAAATAGCCACAGTCTGTAATAAATACTGGGCTAATCCAATATAAATATTTAAACATACCTTCTAGAATTAAAAACAAGATGCTTAAAGTTTCTCATACATGTCATGAAATGTATATGTAGAAATCTAATTTTTCAATTGGTATACTGTCCCAAATTCGCACCGAGACATATTTGTCAGGGGTGGTACATGTAGTGTCTGTTGTTGGGATAGATGCATATAAAAGAACCCATGAGATTTGGAGGAAAAGTAGGTGACAACACTGCTGTCTGGGCAAAGATCACCAACCTCAATAATGTAACCATGACATGGCATAGATGAAAAATCACAATATTATGTTGTCCAAATACCTAACCAAACTACATCACATATTGTTTCTGCGATTAAAGAAATCAATCAAAATAAAACAGTCTAATTGGATGGATATAGAAAGTATTATCTTAAAAAAACCAACAATAATCATCCGATCTTTTTAAATTTACTTTTTATTCTTATACTTGGTTATTGACAATACCTACAAACGATCACTGCTGTGAACTTACATTCCTTGATGTTGGGGGGGGTAGTGGTTTTAACATGTGCGTGCGTGTGTACCCAGCAGGTCTGTCATTGAGTCAGGTGGCATGGTTTCAATTCCCTGCTTCTATGTGACAAAGAGTAGGGCCGTCTGTCCAGCCTCCTGGGTTTTCTCCAGGTCCTCCGGTTTCCTCTCTCCTTGGAGGGGTATTTCTTTAGTGCTTTGCTAATTTTCCCTCGCATCTTTCTAGTAGTATCTGGTTACAGTTAGGTAGGAGGGGTCAGGGGTTATTGTAGAACGCAAGGATTAGATAGTGTGAGGATCCTAACAACATTGACATTACAGATCAAATTTGCCTGCTGCTCTAAATTTAATGAACTTTTGATTACATATAATTTTGAATATGTATATGTTTCATTTTTAATCTAAGACTGCATACTGTACGTTTAATTGAATGGTAAAATCGTAACTGGCAGTGAGCTTTTACTTTTCAGTCAATAAGAGACCAACATAAAATTGATTAACGTACATGTATTTAGAATGTTGGCAACCTTAACTGACAGTTAGTCAATTTCCTTTCTTGAGTTTATTAATCCCTCGCACGGCTCGCACTCTCTTCTCCCATCTTCTCCTCAATAGATCAATAAAAGGATAGAACAGATACTTCTATTTAAAGATGTCTGGTTAAAACCAGAGAAAATTTAGCTTTTGTTTTTATACAGTTCTAATGATGAAAATGTATTCTAGTGATGATCGTCATTTTTTGCGAGAATCTAAGAGGATTCTCAAATATGGAATCTGCGCGAATCCTCCGAATCTTCATTAATAATACTGTCTAAAAAACAAAATTGTGTTTATTGTGTTAATCTAAAACACCAAAATACAACAACAATGATAACAAGAGCATCGCTAACACTGCAATGTACGTCCACATTCCTGCTTTGATTGATATGGTACTTTTTAAAATGAAATATGAAATGGCTGTAATATGACAAGAGGCAAAGAAGGCTAGGCATTGGGTTTGTTTTGCCAAATTTACAGAGAAAATATTAACAAAATAAATGGTTGCTGTCTTTACGGTATAAGGAATAAATATGCAAAGTTCCAAGATGATCCATTCGGAATTGCAGCCTGTAGACAATAAATACAAAAATTGGGCGTGGCTCGGCCCCTGGGGATTGAATATGGAACAATATAAATAGGTACCACCCTGTTATTTAAATGATTGATATGATGAATTTGAACAAAATCTGTAAATTATTGCAACCTGTAGAGTATTTACCGATAAAAACTAACAAAAAAGTGGGTGTGGTACCACACGCCTGGGGGTCGGGATATTCACCAAAATAAATAACAGTATAAGGAATAAATATGCCAAGTTCCAAGATGATGAATTTAGAATTCTAGCCTGTAGACAAAAAACACAAAAATTGGGCGTGGCTCTGCCCCTGGGGGTTGGACAAGGACCAATATATATATATAGGTTCAACCCTATGCTGGATCATTCCAAACTGGATCCAAATCTGTTAATAATTGCAACCTGTACATCATTTACAGACAAAATATCAACAAAAAGTGGGTGTGGCATCGCTGAAAGAGCAGGGAGCGGGGGGCGTGCACCAACATCAATAGTTTCCGTCCTTAGGATAAGGAATAAGTATACCAAGTTCCAAGATAATCCATTCAGAATTGTGGCCTTTGAGTGTGAGTCGGGGAAGCCTTCATAACTCCTCAACAGTTTCACCTATATGGATATATATGTAATATAGCTCAAAAAGGTGATCAAATTTCCTAAAATGGCCAATTTGTCAGATAATAGTCATTTCATTGTTTGTAATGACATTTACTATCCAATTGAAAGGGTGCTCAGTGTTGCTGAACTTATAATTAAAGATACATTACATGTATGTAAGATTTAGATAAAGAGCTAGCCATTCTTGCTACAATAGTTCAAAAATAGATAATGTAAAATGAATAATTTGAAAATTTCATTCAAATTTCTCTATTGGGAGCGAAGATATTACCCTTTGAAGGTTTGACAAGACGTGTGCAATAATTTCGACCACCGTACTAGTTGTTTGAAGCTAAGTCTCGCCTCTCCATTTTTAGATTAAATCAAAATATGGCTGAACCATTCTAATCTATATAATATCGGAGAAATCTGATGCCATCAAGAGTTGATTATGGTCTGGATCAGTTAATTAATGTCTAATTAATAATTTAGAAAACATTTCAGGCCTAAAGAAAGACCTGCAATAGGCAGATTTAGCTCTTGCATGATGTATGTTTAATCTAAACGAAAAGTTTGAAAAATCCAAGATGGCGAAAATTCAAAATGGCGGCCAGAATTTCCGTAAAATGAATGATTTTTTAGAAAATCGCCAATTTTCTGTTTTATATAGCTTATAATATCTCTTTTATAAGGTTTTCAGAGTCACTGAACTTGAATAAAAACTCAAAAATGAATGCTGAAATAGATGTTAATGCTAAAAATGACACATCTTATCCGACCCTCCCCCCCCCACCCAATAAACAATACAATGGGACATATGGAATTGATTATACCGGATCATTTTAATTTCATCTCCTATGACTTTGCACCATTTTTAGCCGTATTGAGAATTATTTATGATATATCCAGTTGTTAAGAATTTAAGTTCTCTTATTCGTTCAGAAATGGTAATGTTGTCCGTTTTTACATTAAAGACTTTATGCCCGGCAACTCTTGTTGTATATTCTAGTAGGCCTGCAGTCAAAATTTTTAGCTTGCTTAGAAACACAGTTCCGCTACAAGGTCCTCCCTACTAAACAAACTATACATTTTTGGAAAGCGTATGTAACACCAGGAACACAAATCCAAGCAAAATGTTTTAAGGCCAGATGAAAATTGTGATAATTGTCAAGTAAATGCTATATTTATACTGACAATTGTGAAGTTGACATAAAATTACACATATGAAACCTAGGATAAGACAGGCTTATATTTCCTCCGTGAGGTGAACAACAGGGTTCTCTCCAACCAGGCTCGAAATTTCTTTTGAAAAAACTGACTGTAAATGGTGCTTTATAGAGTATGTCCTAGTGTTTTTAGCTTATGCATATATCTTAATAATTCATCAAAAAGGACTAAATTCATGACTATGCAAGAACATTAACTAGATTAGGGACCCCCGAAACTACCATACTCCTTTTGAGTGTCCATCCCTGAAAAGGGAGGCAAAAGGTATGATGTTAAAACGTGTTTCTAATTCCTGCATTACTTAAATACTTAAATTATCAGTAAAAATGTGCCCTATAAACTGATAATTTGTATATTATTGTACAGTTATATAAAAAAAAATGTTTCCTTTTTATCCAATGAACAATTTATTGTTAGGTCGTGAAGAAAGATATGCTGCTTAAACGTGTTGCAAATTTCCGAATTACATGGTAGACTTTAACTTATCATATAAACAATTGTTATTTATTTTACAAGTATAAAAAATGTTTCCGTTTTATCGAATGAACAATTTATTGTTAATTCGCGTTGTAAGATATGATGTTAAACATGTTACAAATTAACAACTGTTATATATAAACAATTGTTATTTATTTTACAAGTATAAAAATGTTTCCGTTTTATCGAATGAACAATTTATTGTTTATTCGCGTAGAAAGATATGATGTTAAACATGTTACAAATTAACAACTGTTATATATAAACAATTGGTATTTATTTTACAAGTATAAAAATGTTTCCGTTTTATCGAATGAACAATTTATTGTTAATTCGCGTAGAAAGATATGATGTTAAACAGGTTACAAATTAACAACTGGTATAATAGTCAAGTATTTTACAGCTACAAGAAAGTTTACGTTTAATCAAAAATTCCAATAAACAATTTATTTTTATTGGAAGTTTTTTAAGTTGAAGGGAGAGTCCTACAGGTGGTAGACCATATTAAGTGCTGTTTAAATGTGTATTTTCATAAACTTTGTATGCAGATAGATTATTATACTGAAGGTCCGTCTGGACAGAAAATAAGGTTGCAACGATACAGAAAGAAAATATTGCGATATCTCCTGATATTGGTTAAACAAATTATCGCGATATCATGGATTATCGTCTGGAGTAAATTAGAATTATCGTGCTTTAAAAATTCAAGATTGTGATAATTACTGATATAAAATTGATATAACTCGAGGGGTATAAATGGATTAATATATTTTTTCATAGAACTGTATTTAGTTCTATGATCTAGTGTAACCATTTGGTATTTAGCATTGTATGCGAGATGCACTGATGAAGTGTGACGTATATACATGTGTATATGGTGGGGTAAGATTATTCCTGTAGGTACATGTATGCTGGGGGTCAGGCATGCACCAGAAACAATAGGGATCATCCTTTCATTGTTTAATTTTAGGAATCACTGGTACCAAAATGGCTATGACTTTACCTCAAGTGAACATAGATGAACCTCGATATGATCAGAGTACATACTCAGGACGAGCTAAACATTTCTTCATTACAACAAATCCTCTTAATCTCTTCTCATCGACAACACAACTAGAACAAGCTAAAGAAATTGTAGAAAATTACAGGTAATGTGGGAGAGAAGTTTTTGTAGACGTTTTAACAATTTCTAAATTCTATCAATGCCTTGATTAGCCAGATGGTAGGGTTTATGGAAAATATTTTAAATTGGCTGACATTGAATTTTTTTTATTTAATTTCTTGCATAAGATTAAAATTTGGTGCATTGCAGAACAAAGCGAGATATTATCATATGCCATGCTTGATTTCTTGAATTGGAGGCTGCAATTTTAATCTACATTTGGTTTCATATCCCACAACCCCCTATGAATGCACCACTCTAAATATTGCTACACAGATTGATATGAATTTAATCAGATGTCAATATAAATCTTTGGAGGTGATCAGGGATGGAGCAAACTTTTATTGGATATTTGTTATGACAATGAACATCAGAATGAATATTTTAATTTGTAGAAGTGGGAAAATCGGGTTTTTTGGGTTTTTTTTAAGATAAGCTTTCATTTTGTATGCATGACCATTTATTTTCTTTTTATCTAAAGATTGTTCAATCATTTATTTGTATAATTGTAGAAAAGGTCTTCCATTACCTGGTTTGACAATTGATGATGTATGGAAAGCAAAAAATCTCTATGATTCAGCCTACCATCCTGATACAAAAGAGAGAATGTTTATACTAGGTCGCATGTCCGCACAAGTTCCTTGTAACATGACGATAACAGGCTGCATGATGACATTTTATCAGTAAGTTGAATTTATTCTATTTCTTCTATGTCTTGAGTGGAAAATTCTAACAAAAGTTCTGAATTTGAACAGAGTGATCTCCCTTGCCATAGGTTTAGAATGTTTTATGCAGAGATCCCAGAAGGCAATTTATTCTCTTACTAATTATTTTTTTTCCCTATTATTATGTATCTTTAAAACCTGCTCCATGTTTTCAGGACAACTCCAGCAGTATTATTTTGGCAGTGGATTAACCAGTCTTTCAATGCTGTAGTTAATTATACAAATCGTAGTGGTGATTCACCTATACCATTAAAGTAAGAATATTTTATGTAAACAAATCGAGCACATGTAATGTAATCAATTTAACTATATTTTAGCATAGACTAAGCTGTGAAAAATTGGATATTATCCTTAAAAGCAAATGAAAATCAGTGACTTAAGCTCACATCGGCTGGGCTGAGTTTGTCTTATCCTATTTTATTTAATGTATTCTGGTGAGAGATCCATGGCAATGCTAGGAAAGTAAATATTCTCTGTGTTTATAAATAAAGGTTTTAATATATTTTATTCTTTTTCACCTTCACCCAGACAGTTAGGTTTATCATATGTATTAGCTACAGGAGGAGCAGTTACAACAGCTTTAACTCTTAATTCTATGGTCAAAGTAAGTTGAATCAAATGTGAAGATTTTACTGAAATGGGGTTTAACATCCACTCAATAAAAACTGTTATTTTGAGACTAAGATATGGTATATCTTTATTTCAATAATTTGCTTGCATGTAGCTTAGGGATCTGTAGCAGTGGGAAACCCAGAGAAAACCCACAAGGTTAGGCAGGTGACCTTACTCTTTGTCATGTCCAAGGCTGGAATCAAAACCATAAAAACGTGACTTGGTGACAGACCTTATGATCTAAAGTGGATGACTTAAGTAGACAACATGGTCACCCAATCCTTCTTTGCTAGAATGCATTATTTGGACATTGGTAATGGTTGTGTTCGTTAAAATAAAACAGCCCAGTTTTTCATTTAGCATGTTTGAGTTAGATTGTGTGTAGAATTAGTTCAACCAATCCATTGCTTAGGTATACAGACACTTTAAGGTCAATTTACGATTCATACAAATTTTTCCAAACATCAGTAGAGTTTACTTTGTATTTTGTAGAGGTTTCCACCTATAATAGGACGGTTTGTGCCATTTGCCGCTGTAGCTGCTGCAAACTGTATCAACATTCCTTGTATGAGAAGTCGGTAAGTTTCATATCTTTTAATGACTTTAACTTTATTAAATGGAATGGGTTTTAAAGTCTTATGAAAACAATTTTGAGATGGATATATTGTACACAGGTGGACCTTTGTTTTTCTTATACTGGTATATACTTGAATATACTGGTAGATATTGAATATGTTTAATGACTTGTTCTTGTTTCAGTGAAATATGAAAACAGCAGGGTGTATTTGACGTTATTTGTTTTTTTGTTTCAGTGAAATATTAAATGGTATTCCAGTTTTTGATGAAGATGGTACACGTTTAGGAGAATCCAAGAAGGCAGCGAATTCAGCCATTTCTCAAGTTGTGATATCTAGAATATTTATGGCTACCCCCGGAATGTGTAAGTTATAAAATCACCGTTTACCCATTCATTCACTCATGTTTGGTTGTTTTGCTAAATACCAGAAACTCAGTCCTTGAAATGAATAAAAGTCAAAAGAGTAGAAAAACAATGCCAAAAATTAGAAACAAGTTCTGGGAGGGTTATGCATCTTCTTCTATTAATTAATTATATGAATGAGCTTCAAGGAATTATAGTCTATATGATATTTGTCACAAAGTTGGACAATATTGAAATTGTCTGCTAAAAGTACATAAGAACCACTAAGTACCATGTAGTAATTATTTTTACCAGTTAAGGAAAGTGATGAAACAAGGTGAGCTATTTGATCAACAAATAAATATATATTTTTACAATTTTCAGTGATTCCACCATTTATAATGAATTATTTGGAAAAGAAGCACTTTTTAAAGGTGAGTGGACTCCACTAACTGCCATTTTATATACATGTATGACAGAAGATGTTTTTTATACTGCTGTTGGTAACTGAAACCTATGTATGGTGGTCCGTGTGTAAAAATATATTTATTAAGTGTCCCAACCGGTGTCTCTTAACCAGGAACCCCCATATTCTTGAATACTGATTAGTCATAAATAGATTTTAAATCTGAAGGAGTAAACAACACTTAAACACTGACAAAAGAAAAGAACAAAATAAAAAAAACGTCCCTCCTACATCAGATCGTCTGAGAAGAAGAATATTTTCTTGGAATAGCCTTTGATGTTTTATATTTATATTATTATAGACTCGTCCATGGTTAAATGCTCCTATACAAGTTGGAATTATTGGAGTCTTGTAAGTAATATTATTCTTATATGAGTTCTTTACATTTTGACCAGTACCTACTTAATATATGAATTATATATAGTTTGACCATTACCTACGTATATGACTTATATACAGTTTGACCATTACCTACATATATGTAGAAAAAAAAGAAAGGAGAGGGATGTGATGATAACATGGTCTATATACGTCCACATGGTAATGCAATTGTAAATTGCTGTCGCCCCTGTACTTACGTACGACCGTACGTGGGGGGTTGGATGGCTGAATGGTTAGTGTGCGCACACTGTATCATAAAGTCTGTCATTGAGTCGACTGGCGTGGTTTCGAATCCCCGGTTGTACGTGACAAGGATTAGGGTCGCCTGTCCAACCTCGTGGGTTTTCTCCAGGTCCTCCAGTTTCCTCCCACTGCTAAAGACCCCTACGCGCAAGCGAATTATGTAAATAAAATTAAACTATATGTTAGTCCCGAAATGACCTAGTTTGTGTCGAGTGGACGTTAAACCCCATTTCTCTCTCGCACGTCCGTACGTCCACGAGGTACGTCCGTACGTCCACAAGGTACGTCCGTACATCCTTAATTCTTGTGAACACTCTACAGGCAGCATTTATCATCTGATTGTTTTGAAATTATATTCTTTATATTAGTTAGATGAAGAATCCTATTTAATTTCAATAATTTCTGTTAATTACTTCTGGAGTGTGGCCCTAGTTTCACTTTGTTGAACTTTGTGAACGCTCTAACAAGAAAAGTTATCATTCGATCTGTATGAAATTTAAAGGCATGATTTAAATTAGTGAAACAAAGAAGCCTATTGATTTTCAGCAAGTTTCTTTAATTACTTCTAGATTTATGGTTCTTGTTTCACTTTGTTGAACCTTGTAAACACTCGAACGACAAAAGTTATCATCCGATCTGTATTAGATTTATATGCATCATTTAGATTAGTGAAACATTGAAGCTGATTGAATTTCGACAATTTCTAAAGTTATGGCCCTTGTTTGACTTTGTTGGACCTTATGAAAACTCAAACGAAGAAAGTGATCATCCGATCTGTATGAAATTTATATGTATAATTTGAATGAGTTAAATCATAAATGAAAAAGCCTTTTAAATTTCAGCAATTTCTGTCAATTACTTCTAGAGCTATGACCCTTGTTTTACTTTCTTGAACCTTGTGAATGTTCGAACGACAAAAGTTATCATCCGACCTGTATGAAATTTATATGCATTATTTAAACTAGTAAAACGAAAAAGCTTGTCAAATTTTTGTAAATTATTTCTAGAGTTAAGGCCCTTGTTGCAGATTGTAGAACATTGTGAACCCTCAAATTACAAAAATTATAATCCGATCTGTATGAAATTGTCATGTAAATGCCCCCAATTACCTACAAAAGAATAAATATGCGACCACTCAGATGATTTAGCTGCTGTGGGTGTATGTTTCGTTGCCTGGCAACCTATCTTTATTTGTCTTGTTAAATAAGGGGGTGAAATTGAGTGTTGCATAAAATTAAAACAAAGCAATGGCAAAAGCAACATAAATTAGTCTGGTTTCAAAGAATCAACAAACTCTAAAGAGACTGTAAACAAGCATTTTATCGATAATTCAATAAAAAAATATAAATATATTTGTTTCAGTTTGGTATTTGCTACACCATTGTGTTGTGCTCTGTTTCCACAGAAAAGGTTTGTATTATTATTATTATTATTTTATATTATTATTACACTGTATAACCCTCATTTGTTGTTGTTCTTAGTGCTTAACGTGCTTCCACGGAAGGTGATATCGCAAACAAGTTGCCTTATTTTCATTATCTTAGCGAACGCACAGGGGTCTTTCCTGTGGGAGGAAACCGGAATACCCAGAGTAAACCCAGGAGGTTAAGGAGGCATCCCTATCACCAAGCCACATACGCTCAAACAAGGGATCGAAACCACAACTGGAAGCCAGAGGTGACATGCCAGCTAGACCACTAGGCTACTTTTGCCAGGCAAATGACAAGATAGCTTGAATAATGACCAATTGTGAAATCTACCTGCCTGTCAACTTGCCAAAACTTTAAAATTTACCTTAATTACACTTAAATAATCATTATATTTGATTTTAACAAAGAAAATAATTGTAATTAAAGATACATTATGCAAGAGCTAAATCTGCCTATTGCAGGTCTTTCTCAACTCTTGATGTCATCGCTAGTCTAGGATATTTACTGGATTTTAATCTGATCTGCTGCTCAACACGCATTGATGACTAAATCAAAAAATGGATTATTGAGACTATGTTTTTTATCGTACCAACTTTAGTAATGATGATCGAGGCTAGGCCTAAAATTCAGTCGCTAAATTCTCTGTTCAGAGTGGATCAATTTGACTGAAATTTTCAGCAAATTCCCTTTATATTATCTAGTTTTTAACTATTATAGTGAGAACTGCCAGCTCTTTATCTAATCTCCCATAATGTATCTTTAACTTTCAATAATATATTTTAATCATTCTTATATCTCTGGAATTCCTACCAAGTAATATCTAGTAATAGTGAAAAACATTTTGTCTTTAATAGACAAATTATCATGCCGTATGTTACGATGTAGAGGAACTGCCAGTCACTGTAACTAAACAGAACAGCTGTAGCCTACCAGCATACTGTAATAATCTTAGTGAAATGAAATGGGGTTTAACGTCCTACTGTTCTGCTCCTATGCTGGGCTAATGAAGACGGGCATACGCCATACAGTGTGCTATGAGGGAAATTTTGCCTGGGCAGCGGCACTATCGCCTATTCTTATATCGAATTCCAACTGCCAAGGGATCTTTTACGTGCATTCCAATGTATACACGGGACCTCGGTTTTCCGTCTCATCCGAAGGACTAGACAGCTGTCCTTGTCAGGCCCTCCGTCCTGCATCACTGACAAGGGGAAACCACGCCGGAAAATCTGGATGAACTTTCTCAGCCAATGCAGGGATCGAACACCTGACCTCCAGACTAGCGAGCCAGCCCTACCTACTTAGCCACGTGATCCCCGTAATAATCTTAGACCCAACAAACTACATATTGTGTATTCACACTGTGAGCTATTATAGCACATCCTGCTGGTCTATTTATTAACAAGGGATGACACACACAGCGTAATCTAATAATTTGTACATTAACGCCAAATAATTACGGCATATTTGAAACTATTTATTATAATACTTGAATACAATATAAAAAATCTACAATGACTGGAGTTCAGCTTTAAATTACTTTAAAAAAGCAAAATATTGAACAGCATTTTTTAAAATAAATGATTTTATTTCTTAAATACAAGAAACAATTAAAAGAAATAAGCATTCTACGGAATAGGTTTGCATGTGGGAATGTCTTAACCATAACTTGTACAAAAGGAATCCCCATCACACTGTGTATCGTTATGTTCATCAAAAATATAGTATTGTTAGTCTCAAAAACTTCTTGTAGTGTTATAAAATATGATTTTCATTTTACACCTAAAGTAGTCATCCCTACACTCTCTGATTCATTGGCTAATGGTATTTTATCGAACACATCACTTATTTTGTTTAAAAATAATATTAGAATCCCCATGATCTAAAACAATCTCCTAATTTCATTAGTTCCTCGTTGGAATTGACATTTTTATGACACTTGGCATGAATCCACAAAATAATTAGTGTATCTGTTTTACATATCGAACAATCTTCACTAGCACCGGTAGAATATATTCCATATCGACCATCTGCAATTACTACTTTAAAATGTTTTTCTTGAATGGTTATCCCTTTTTCGTAAGCAATTTCAGGGTTCTCTGTTTTGGCAAGAATGTCCTTAAAGTTCCTTTCTGTGATGGAAAACTCTTCACTACATGTTAACACAGCATCATTGTCTATTTGATAAATGGCCGCACCAAGTCCTTGTTTTAAATCTTTCATGAATTTAATTCTAAATTGTTTCCACACTGATAAAATATATTTCGTCCTTTCTTCTTCTGTATCAAATGTAGGTCCCTTATCCTTGTTGGAATTATTCTGGTTTGAGGAACTATAAATATCAGCATCACTGTGAGTTTGTGGCTTTGTGGTCATGGTCTACGTTTCAGTTTTCAAACCCTTTGTCTAGAAATTAACTAAGTCGAAAAATTAACTAAGTCGAAATTTTTGAAGTTTGTGTAAGTAGGCCAAAATTTTCTGTCACACCAGACAATATTGTCTGGTTTGTGTCTACGGATAAGCAACCCATAAAGATATTAAAGAGTTGTAAATAATTTAAAATATTCACTAGACATTTAACCATTGTATAAAAAAGAAGTCAATATTCTATTATGTCGTTTAGATATTGTGTTTGTAGATAATGTATTCTATTACTAAATCTCACTCAATCCTTAATCTGTTTTTATTGTGTGCATAAGAAAGGAAGAGTTTATTGTGAATATGTAATTCATTGACCAATTCCTTTTAATGCATTTGTGTCCTATAAATAGAAATACATGCTAATAGTTTTTTAATTTCTTTTTGATCCTTTCAATAATTGAGTTGTTACACCCTAACAACTAGTCAACTACACTGTTTATGTAACAACCATTACAAATAATTTATATACAATGGACATAATAGAATGTTGGAGAGAAATTATGAAAGACCTATTTTTATCTGTAAAGGCTGTGGATGAGAGTTATGAGTATTGACTCTTAGTCTTAAACAGGGCTCACACTTCAATCCTTTGCTAGTCAGACATTTTTATGTCAGTTAAAGTTCTAATATTCAAATCTGAAAGACCATTTATTACAAAATAAAACAATAAAAACAGAATAGTTGCATGCTGGGCATTTATGGGTAGATTTAGATTTTTTCGTTTAGACATTTTAAAATTTGGTCAGACATTAACTGGAAACAATAGACGATTATATTCCCTTTTTTTTCAAATTCATGTTGGTTTATTTTTGTGAAAGACATGTTCCCTTATGAGTCAGGATGCAAATTTCTTGCCTGAATTGCTCAAAATTTAAATTGTATGGGTACTTGAATGTAGATTTTGAATGAAAATAGCTTACATTTGTCTGAAATTACTCAAGTTTAGCAAGAGAGAATATTGTATTGTTCATGGAGAACCCCTTGAATTGTGTAGTTAAATACTTACATATGTATGGTGGCTGTTAGCGGCCATTCAAATGAATCTAAATCGTCGCCTTGTGAAGAAGGCAACAAGTCGACAGAATTGACCCAACAAGTCGACGAAATGAAGGTGACGATTGTCGGGTTATTTTGTCGTGTCGGTGGGTTGATTTTGTCTACTTGTCACCTTCGACTTATTCACAACCTGACAAGTCGACAAAATACAATTATTTCAACTTGTCGTGCGGCGACTTGTCGCCCAGAAGTCAAACTCGAGCTTGCGCATTTGCTGATTGGATAACTTGCATGCGCACAGATTAACTTCCGAGGCGACATGTCGCCGCACGACAAGTGGAAATAATTGTATTTTATCGACTTGTCGCCTTGTCGGGTTGTGAATAAGTCGAAGGTGACAAGTTGACAGAATTGACCCGACAAGTTGACGAAATGAAGGCGCCGAACGTCGGGTTATTTTGTCGTGTTGATTTCGTCGACTTGTCGGGTTGTGAATAAGTCGAAGGCGACAAGTCAACAGAATTGACCCGAAAAGTCGACGAAATGAAGGCGACGATCGTCGGGTTATTTTGTTGTGTCGGCGGGTTGATTAACTTCCGAGGCGACATGTCGCCGCACGACAAGTGGAAATAATTGTATTTTATCGACTTGTCGCCTTGTCGGGTTGTGAATAAGTCGAAGGTGACAAGTTGACAGAATTGACCCGACAAGTCGACGAAATGAAGGCGCCGAACGTCAGGTTATTTTGTCGTGTTGATTTCGTCGGGTTGTGAATAAGTCGAAGGCGACAAGTCAACAGAATTGACCCGAAAAGTCGACGAAATGAAGGCGACGATCGTCGGGTTATTTTGTTGTGTCGGCGGGTTGATTTTGTCGACTTGTCGCCTTCGACTTATTCACAACCCGACAAGTCGATGAAATACAATTATTTCGACTTGTCGTGCGGTGACTTGTCGCCTCGAAAGTTAATCTGTGCGCATGCAAGTTATCCAATCAGCAAATGCGCAAGCTCGCGTTTGACTTAAGAGGCGACAAGTAGCCGCACGACAAGTCGAAATAATTGTATTTCGTCGACTTGTTGCCTTGTCGGGTTGTGAATAAGTCGAAGGCGACAAGTCGACAACATCATTCCGCCGTCACGACAAAATAACCCGACGATCGTCGCCTTCATTTCGTTGACTTGTCGGGTCAATTCTGTCAACTTGTCGCTTTCTTCACAAGGCGACGATTTAGATTCATTTGAATGGCCGCTAACAGCCACCATACATATGAGTTATGATAGAAAATTATTATGATTTAAAGTAATAAAAACCTTTAACCACAGGAATAATTTTCTCTTGTTTTTTTTTCATATTTTTCAGTTCTATAGCCACATCTAGTTTAGAACCAGAAATCCAAGAAAAAATTAAAAGTTTACCCAATCCTCCGACTAGAGTTTATTTTAATAAAGGTTTATAATGAATGAATTAATTAAATAGATGTATCTTACTAGCAACACATTGATGTTTTATATGGCATTTATTTTAATCTTTATTATTCATTATTTGCAGTACTCGTTTAAAGGATGCCATTTTTAATTCTTAATAATTATTAGTATTAGTGGTACCCTCAATCTCAACTAAGAAAATAAAATGTGATTCATTCTCAATAATATCAGTGGTTAAATAGTTACTAACTGGTGCTAAAATCAGGAGCTAACTAGTTCAGGTTAGTGTTAAAAACCTCTTGCTGTCTGAAACATTGTACATTTACGTAGAGCATGGTGATACATTACCATGTCACTTTGGAATTAGAATGTCTTTTAGAATCAATGCTACTCTATTTTACATCAAGAGCATTCATAAAATTCTGTGAAATAAACACTCAAAATATATGTATGATTTGTAAATTCAATAAAATATATACCTCAGAGATTGATTGCTTGGCAGATTTGCCAAATCAATTCAAATCGCAAAATATTTTTTACTAACCATATAATTATGTTTTAAAGTGGGTTACATTTCTAATCTCAAGCTAATTCATCATGGTCATTTCATCTGTGACACACAATCTGGACTGTTGTATTGTAGGCTTGAAAATTGAGCTCTCTTAATCAGAAGTTAAAAGAAGTGTATTTGATCACGGATTCAGTGATTTACTGAACTTAATTTATTTTGGTATTCATAGAAAAGGAAAATTAGATGAATTTATAAAATGCACAAATAAAAAATCTCAGAGAAATTTTATTTATTAAAACTCTGGTTTGAATAGAGAAAAGAAATGAAATGGGGCTTAACAGCCTACTTTTCTGCACCATCTGGGCTAATGGAAAGGGGTTTGAATAAAGAGACAGTTGGATGGTGAGTTGGTGTTGGTAGGGAAGGGGATAGGCCACTTATGATTGAAATAAATGCTGCCTGGTGCAGTATTGTTGTTAAATGTTTATATGTATACATGTTAATGATTTTCCTCTTTCATAGGAAGTACATTAAAACATAATGTCAATCTGATGACAATACCTTGCATGATTCTAAAAGAATTTGATTGATAATGTATTTATTTTGATTATGATTTATTGATAAACTAATAATGTGATAATGGAATATGAAATTCATGTTTTGATGTTTGATTATAATAATCTATAAAATACAAAATATTTTGCATACATGTACATAAAGCCTCTGATCTTCCTTTGCATTAAAGGTGCATTATGGGAGATTAGATAAAGAGTTGACAGTTCTCGCTATAATAGTTAAAGAATAGATAACATAAATATAGAACATGTTGAAAATTTCAGTCCAATTGCTCCACTTGATCATCATTACTAAAGTCGGTAGGATAAAAAACAAAGTCTTGATTATCAATTTTTACATTAATTAATGTATAATTAATAGGTTATATATAACATTTCAGGCCTAAAGAAAGACCTGCAATTGGCAGATTTAGCTCTTGCATAATGTATGTTTAATCAAGACTAAAATATACTCAAATTGATTATTTATCATTTAATTAAGAAAACAAAATCAAAATATCAACAGTAGATAACCTCCAGGCTAAGAGGGCCATCAAAAGATTCCACATGATGATTATAGGTGACGCTGGCTTGTTTACAAAATGTTGCAAAATTTGAATTCATCATAAATGTAAATACTAAACGGAATTTGTCCATTTTTAGATTAATATTCCATTTATAGATCCAACTTTCTCAATATTATAGTTTGTAAGGGATTCAAATGATGGTCAGTGGCTTTATGCTAATTTACACTAATACAAAATTATGAAAAGTATTGCTCACATAATGTAACATGTATAAATAGATTTACATAATTATTCATAATTTCATTGTTATTGTTTGCATAAATTAATATTAATGATGTTAATGAGATTATTTTATGGGTGCTTGAATTGATTAATCGCTTGATGTTGTTTAAATGTTTTATAATAATTTGAACATGATTAATAAATCTTATTCTCCAGGTCAATAAAAATGCAACCATTTGAGCAATTGTCAAATTCTATGTGAATCCTTAAATATTTGTTGTATTAAAGTTTGATAGAGACACCATTTTATTTAAAACTCTGTAAGCTGGACTATTTTAATGAAGTAAAAAAAAAGGATGATTTATCAAGAGAGCTTAGATTTTTAAATCAATTTTTTTGTTTTAAAACTGATTGATTTGGTGCTTTATCTTTTTGTATGAATTATTGAATATAATACAAGGAGGTAAGTCTCACTAATATGGTGTTTATAACATACTTGTTGTATGGTATATAAACTCATATTCTCTGTCATTTATATCAGATATTTCAATACTAGTCGATATATATTAAAATTTGTATTTGATATGAGAAGATTTGTGAATAAATTTGTTCAATCAGTTATGCACATAAATTTACATAATATATTATTAGGGTATGCAAAATGGTGTGAATAAGGTGCAAATAAAGGAAGAAGTGATAAACATTTTCTATGTACTACTTGTCTTTTTTTTTTTATTCTATATTACGAATTTCTAGACTTTGTTGGTATAAAATTAAAATGTGATAAGGGCTTTGTGCAGGTCATCCAAAGCACATAACCCATTATCCTTGTCCTTTGCACAAGAAGCATTTAGCCCCAGCAAGTGATGGACAGAATTTAAAAATCCCAGCTGTTCTCGTAAAGGGGGTCGTGGTGATCACAGGCCTGTCATCTAAGCTAGACCTAATTAAATGGGGTTTAATATCCTAGTGTTTTGCTCCGACTGGGCTAAGGAAAATGGGCATACACTGTACAATGTGCTATGAAGAAAACTTTGCCTGGACAGAGGTGCTACAGCCTACTTGTATATTGTATTACAACTGCCAAGGGATTTTTTTACATGTATGCCAAAGTGTACATGGGACCTCGGTTTACTGCCCTATCCGAATGACTAGACAGTTGTCCTTGTCAGGCCTTCTGTCCTGCACCACTAACAATGGGAAAACCGTGCCGGAAAATCCAGAGGGACTCTCTCTGAGAATCCGAATCATCCAGGCTAGCGAGCCAATGTCTAGCTCCCAAGCTAGGCCTAAATTTGGTGCCACAATTGTATGGAAGAAAGAAAAGGGTTGCACAATATGTGACAGATAAGTTCTGAATATGGATAGGTTTTTCCTTCATTAAACTATGAACAATCTGCAAATTAAAACGGCACTGCCAGGCAAAAATTATACAGCTTTTTGGTGGGTGGCTTTTAAGTTCTCATACACAGACACTTAACCCCACATAAAGTTGATGGGTGAGCTGATTTTAAAAGTAGGGTTCCTCATTATTAGCCCAACAATCACACTGGAAAAAAAATCTAAAAAATTCTCGACTTCCCAAGCAATTACATGGTTTTGGTGACAAGGGGAGTAACTCTGTGAGCCTCAGAAATCTGATAGGCATCCCTAACTAGTTGAACAATCCCAGCAAGTTATAAAAATCTCAAAAATTCTGACCTGTTGAGAATTTACCAGAATTGTAGACAGCGAGACAACAATATATTCCAATGTGAAACTTAAATTTGGGCCTATTAAAAAAACATGTCAAGAACTTCAACCTGAAGAGTCTTCATAAATGGTTCACTGTAAGCTCATAAAAAGACCACGTAACTCATAACAAATCAAATCAATTTTTTCAGTGTATTTAATGATTAATATACAACTTACAGTTAATAAACAAAAATATTTCATTTAACTAACTTCAAAAGAAAAAGAATAAATAAAGCTATAATATCTACAATATTGGCATGGGACTAACTAGGTGTAATATCTACTATATAGATCATTTCTAGCTTTAACAGTTACAAAATGAAATATATTTACTATGTTTCTACAGAAAAGTTATATATATGCAATCTTTTAAACCTTGCAAGTTTAAATATTTTTGCATAATAGTGAAAGGCAATCTCCGTAGGGGAATTATTTTCTTAACCCTTAACAATTCAACCTTTGATTTAGATTGAGATTCCAGTGAAGAACTAGGACTAATCAAGTAAATAAAAGAAAAGTGAAGAATGAGATCAGAGAGTTCTTGTATTACATCCATGTGAATTTTATTATTAATAATATATATAGACTAGTATATAACTAATATCACAGCTACAGTTTGATTACACAATATTACTACCAAGATACAATATATTAAATGAAATGTCATGAAATTAACCAAATATTTCTTTATTTACTGAAATCAAGATGAGGCTAATTGGTTCTAAGGATTTAATGTGTACCCCTAAAATATATTTTTTAATTTTGCTATGGATCTTATTTAGCTGTTGATTAATATTCAGCGGAAGAAATAAATAATAATTGCCATGTATGAATATCAACTGATAATAAAACATCAATAAAATATTTTCTAGTAATAGCTACTTAATGTAGAATATTTACAATAATGGATTCATATTATATAACAATATCAAAGTTTAGTATTTTGAAGCTGGCAAATAGTAAATGTGTATCATATGATACACCTATGCTATACCCTACGTGAAGACCTATAAACTTATATACAATTACATCAACTATTATCGATCATCCTTTTTATTGTACTGTATAGTATATATATTATGTTTATCTACTGGCTATCTATATCTACATAATCTGTGGTCAAAAGTTAGGCACCTTGAAGATAGCAGCTATCAATATCTGCAAAATCTGTGGTCAAAAGTTAGGCACCTTTAAAATAGCAAGTACTGTTAATATATCAGAAGGTTAGGCACCATGCAAATAGCAAGTTGTACTGTTAATATATCAGATTTGTTTATAAAACTTTTCCTTCACCTCTGTAAACTAACACAGGTTCTCTATTTCTAAAATAAGCCAACTAATGCAGGTTCTCAATTTCTAAAATAGACTTAACTCAAAGATCAGTCGACATTAATCAACATAAATCATAAATAATGGAATATACAGAACAAAGATCACGGATTATAAGTAAATATCAATCATGGTGCAATATCAAAAATATTCAAACAAGGTTTATATATGGGGATGGATTCATAGATAATTTAGGGTTATAATTCTTTTATATTGAAACATTTAAGGCACTGGTGGTACATACCTACATTACCAATGTAGAAACATCAATCAGTACAATCTCTATTAGTTTGTAAATAATTAATGGCACATGTGGAATCGCCAATAATTAATTATACACAGAAAAGCAACACCTGGATTGAGTCAGCTATTAATTATTGACAGGCTTGAAGCTGGACAATTTCAGAGAAGATAAGCTTTCAGTCAACTAAGGTATCACTGATTATAATTATTACAGATCTGATTGAACTAAGAGAGATTGTTGTATAGGTTTATATATTTTATAACTTTGGATAATATATGAGGTGCATTGGAATAAATGTAGTATTTCACACATTAATAAATATTTTTACAGTTGTATATCAGAAAAGAGCTAGACCATACACAAGTCAATTGATTCTTCTCTACTTTCACTTTCACATGTGATTTAGAATCTGTGGATTGCCTTAGGAACTAGCACTTCTCCTTTTAATAATGAGTATAAAGATATAAGATAATAAACGATGCAATATTTGACCTGCTGCCATTAGGGTCATATGTATAGGTCTTGTTTAAAATGCTGTTATTCTTTCCTTGAATATATTTTAATATTTATTTATTACTTGTTTTTATGGTGGACATCATCAGACTTTATGCTATAATGCCAGCTCGACGTAATACATTATTCTGTACTTTCTGAAATTTACAAAAAAAAATTGTAAAAAACAAAATGGAGAATATTTCAAAAAGCTGTATGACCTGAACCAGGGCAATTAAGTCATTAGTTATATTTGAAAGTTATATATAATTGCAAACTAAAGTTATTGTGTTGAAACGAAATTTATACAGAAAGACAGACAGAGAGATAAAAAGACACATGTGACACAAACATCCTTTCATACAGGGAAATGAAAATTATTTCAAACAAATCCTGATTAATTACCAGCCTGTACTGATTAACTAACTACCAGTCTCTACTGATTAATTAACTACCAGACTGTACTGATTAACTACCTATCAGTCTCTACTGATTAACTAACTACCAGATTCTAATGATTAATTAACTACCAGTCTCTACCGATTAATTAACTACCAGTCTCAATTGATTAATGAACTGCTAATGTCTACTGATTATCTAACTACCAGTCTCTACTGATTAACGACTACTTATCTCTACAGATTAACTAACTACCAGTCTCTACTGATTAATTAAATACCAGTCTCTACCGATTAATTAACTACCAGTCTCGATTGATTAATGAATTGCTAATATCTACTGATTATCTAAATACCAGTCTCTACTGATTAACGTACTACTAATCTCTACAAATTAAATAACTACCAGTATATACTGATTAATAACTACCAGTCTCTACTTATTAATTAACTACCAGTCTCTACCGATTAATTAACTACCAGTCTCGATTGATTAATGAATTGCTAATATCTACTGATTATCTAAATACCAGTCTCTACTGATTAACGTACTACTAATCTCTACAAATTAAATAACTACCAGTCTCTACTGATTAATAACTACCAGAAAGATTTCTTGTAATGCTTTTCTTGCAATTTTTATCATTAAAGCCGTGATCAGGCTTATCCTGGGCATGGCAGTATGCAGACTTAAGACAGAATTACAATTGGACCAGAAATAATTTATCTGGCATTAAAACATTTGTTAAAGAGAAACATCTACTAAACATGAACTAAATCATTGAGTGGGATATAATAGTTGATACTTACTCTATTAAATACCATGGCTCGTAATCTATTGAGTTTATATTGTTGTCGTCTCTTCTCCGTTAGTTCACGATACTTTACTTCTGGTAAACGACGATACAACCTACAAAATATATATTATTCATAAAATATGTCAATCTTCTCTGACCCACATGAAAGACATCATTATTACTTTACTTTTTCAAATTGATCAGAACTATGACACAACTACTGTAAGCCAGTACCAAACCCTTGATGCACTAGATATAGTGATGTAATAATGGGCAGTCGAGCAGTAAAGCAAATTGTTGCCCTGTCATTCAGATGTGACAAGAAACAAAGGTTCAGCAATGTACTCACTGGAATGTAAGTCCAAGTACCCTTGACAACTTAAATATGATGATGAGTTGGTAGAAATGCCACTGTCCTGGCAAAAGATTTCTTCCCAGCATTTATACATAACGATAGAAAAATAACTTTGTGTTAGTCTTAAAATGACCAAAGTATTGAGTTGATGAGAAGTTAAACCAGGGATGCTATTTCAAGATTTTGCACATGGAACGTGTTTAGTTGGAGCTTACAGAGTTCAGAATTAGGTCACCAGTAGTTGTTGTCCGCTTCAGGAAATAAGGTCAATAAGCTTCCATTCACTTTATTGGACTTAACTAGAAATATTTCTTATGTTATGTAGAAAATCATGTTCTGAATAATGTTTATGAATAGTTAGTACAAAAAATGAGGTGGTACTCGCTATTTTTCATATTAAATTCGTACCAGCTTCCAAGTTCACGTCAAAAATATTCCTCAAAAATTACCTGCCTTCTTTTGTACAATCGAAAACGAAATCAAAACGTTCGTGATAAGAATAGTTCATGATATCTAAACATCGTTTTCTTCTTTATAAAATAGTATTTTAAAATTACATTGGTAGTTTAATCACTTGTAAAAAGGCATAGCCAACTTATGCGTATTATCATTATCTGCTATTGATGTATGTGACCTTTTACAGCTATTTCGCGCCAAAATCAACCATTTTACTATTAAAGGAGCTAAATCGCTAATATTTGGGACCTAGAAATTGACACAAATGGGTCGCTACGCATATAATAATGTAATATGAATGTATATAAACTGATTTACATTCAATCGTTCCTGTTTTTACTGTGATTTCTAATTAGTTATGTTCGGCGAAATGCGCCAAAGTCTCAATTGAATGACAATCTTTAGCGTCTGGTTATTCCAGTCTACACCGATCATATTTATTGCACATGCTCTCCAGATAAGAATATAGTGTCACCATTTGACATGACTTGTGGAATATGTCTAGCCTCGTTCTTTGAGTCCCTTGTTCCAAATGGCGCTGAAACGCATTATGGTACACGATTCGTGTACCAATGGTAAAATGTTTATTTTGTCTTGAATATTGGATATCAGAAACCCATCTTTTCCCTGTAAGTTCACAAGACAAATGTTGATTTGAATTGACAAATAATTCATGTTTTCAATGTTGAAGATTTTTGATGATATTGAGTTAGAGACTTAGCTACTTTAAGTTTTAATCATTCTTATCGGCTTGATAAATAGTTTGGCAAACGAGAAGCATCAACATCTATTCAGGATTGGATTGATGAATAGGCTGACAAAGGATTGAGTCAACTAATCAAGGTAGATTAAGTAGTTAATCAAGGTAGGTGTATAGACGGTATAAGTAATATAACACGATAAATGGGTTGATCACTTAATTTCCTAATTAATCCAGCCTATTATACACTCAGTAAAGTCAATATATTTCGGAATTTTGAATATGATTCACCATATCTTGATGTCTGATTGGGCATAATCGAGTCAGACGTATAGAATATACGGGCGAAGTAGCACCCTTGAGTTAAACCCCATTTGTATTCTTTCAAAACAACTAATAATACGTCTCATTTATTCATTGTACTTTAAATATTAATATTTTTGATACACTCAAATTGTTTTTTAGAATATGTATTTTGAAAGAATGTTTATACCTATGGGTTATAGCTTTCATTTCTTGCTTTGTAAACAGTTTCTTTTTTGGGAATTTATAAAGTGTCTCAGCTGAAAAAAGAAAGAAAAGAAACATTTTACAGACAAATTTACAAACAACATATCTGTTGATAAAAATGTGTTTCAATACACAAAATAAACATAAAAATGACAAGAAATAGTCTCAATAGCTACTTTAAATATGTTCAATCTCTCAAAATTCACAAGAAGAACCACATGATTCCACTTCTCAAGATGAGACGTGCGCAGAGTGAATAATTTACTATTTGTTACCAATGAAAATGTAAACAAAGATTATTGTGTTTGTGGCGATTAGTTTTATAAATTAAAACTATTAAATACTACAAACCTTTATATCCAGATGGATATTCTATTTGTCTTCCCTTTCTTTTTCTATCACCAAATATACGATCTCTTTCAGCTTCAAGATAATCCTGCATCTGTCTATGTTCAGAAGCTAGAGCTATTCTCTTCTGTCTTTCACGGGATTGTGATATAAAATCTTTCTTATTTAACAAAAGAGCATCCTGAAATGCAAATGAGATCATTCAGGAATAAGATTTTTCTGATCTTCCTTTTATTTGTCAATCTTTAACCCTTTCATTATAAAATGTCGGTAAAATACGAGTACCCGGTATTTCCGTGTACTCAGTAAAGCCCTCGCTAAAATTAGTACCGTAACTGCAAGTGCCATCTATTGTATTTTCTATACACTAGAACATATTTCCACGTGTTTCAAAGCGGCAAACCGTAAAATGGCGGAGTGCATAGTGACAACGTAGACGATGCACTCCCGACGAAGTCGTGAATGACGTCTTGCTGACCAACACGTGGACAATTTCGAGGCGGGTGATACACATAATTCGTTTCCAGTTACTTGATAATGATAGTAGTCAGGACAGTGATTGGTATTATGAAGTGTGTGATTTGTTGCACGACGTTCCGCCCATGGCTAGCTATGTCTCCCGTGCATGATGAACAAGCCCAATGTGAACACGATAGCCCTGTGTCTGCAGTAGATTCTGACAATAATTCTGATGTTGATAATAATGCTGGCCTGCTGGATCGTAAAAGACGTAGGCAATTCCCGAGTCCCGAACGTGTAGATCTATTGACTGACTATATTGATAATGATACCTTTGAATAATAGCGCCTAACAGGCAGCTGTGTTTAATTATGTTCTCCTGATTTTGATTGTTTTTGTGTGTTTGAAGTATATGTTTGTAATATGCGCTTAGAAACACTTCACGTGTAATGAAGCGCTATATAAATCGAACAATAATAATAATAATATGGGACTTGGGGATGAAAGTGAAAGTAAAAACAAGGTATTGCAATCCGCACGTGGTCATGGCAGCGGGAGACGTGATGCGCGTGTTCGTGGTGGCATTGCTCATGGCTGCTATTGATATTTTTGTTCATTTTTTTTATCTTTATCAAAATCCAGTGAAAAAAACAATATCTCATAAGTATTTCATGGAGAAAAAATCGTTTTCGTGTTAGCTTTAGTGAGAAATGAGAAATCAAAATGGCCGCCATGATGTCACGTGACTTCATTATTATGCAAATTTCCAAAATTCTATTTTTTCCTCTTAGCCCAACCTCATGTCCATCCCAGACAAAAAGATTTTTCATAAAAGCTTCCATAAGTACTAATTGGCATTCAGTTCCAACCCCCCTTTTTTCCTCAAAAAAGGGTCTAGCACAGGCAGTGGATTTATGTCTAGCATTGAAAGGGTTAAACTATAATTAAACTATAAAACACATCTTGTACATATGTTGCTTGATAAAAAATATTCCCTAAATTAATTACTTTCAATAAATGTGTACCTGTAATGTCATACATGTCTTCAGTGGTAGCAATTCCATATCATTATCAACTGGTTGTTCCAGTCTATCTTGCTTATCTTGTCTATCCAGCCTTTCCTGTCTATCAACTCTAGTGTCTATTGTCCAACCTGGTGATTTTAATTGATCGTTGTTCATACCCCACTCTCCTCTAGTTCTGCGTTGATCTAAGATCTGTGTTTCTGGTGGTCTCTCTTGAAGTGGGTTTGGAGGGTTCCTCTTCTCCTCTGCTAATGGTATATACCATGACACAGCTATAATAGAAATATAAAGAATATTTATAAATATGAATGAAAAAAAGTGAGATCTTATCAGGGAATAAATGAACAGGATGGATGGTAAAATCAAAATACAACTATATATTTACATATTGTTTTAAATTCAGGTTCTTAAGTGTGTTGAGTAGTATAAGATACCCACAAACTTTTCAACACCAATCTTATTAAGACTTTGCACACTTGTTCCATGTGTAAAATAACCCAGAGGACACAAAACAGTATGACCGTTTGTTGTGTAATAATGGAGAGAAAAGTGGAAAGAAAAAAACTATTTATAGCAAACAAGAAGGTTATCCTGATCTAGATCAGTTCTTGAATAAATTATGACCTTGTATACATCGTTCACACCATCCGCAGTAAACAATCATGGCTGCCTCCAGCAGCAGTTTCACACTGGATCATTGACGTCTATATATGACATCAGAAAGAATTCCCTCCAAGGTCTACTATCTATCGTGACTGGAACATGGCTGAATTTCATTTTTTGATGGTCGAAGACTACCATTTTTGGATGCATAAAATGATTTTGAGAGTAGCAGAGTAGTGCACTGATGTAAATATTTACTTTTTACCAGTAAAGACTTTACCAGAAATCACAAAATCTTGTTTGAAGGTAAATAATCAATAAAGATTTTAAAATACTTATGAACAAAACTTACAGTGCTAGCTTTAAAATGTGCATTTTAGAGACTGCTCAATGCCCTTAAATCTTTAAAATGTGCATTTTAGACTGCTCAATGCCCTTAAATTATTAAAATGCTTTGTAATCACTTTAAAGAAATTCATAATTTAGCATATTATTAGCCTTTACCATATGGACCAAGATCATGGTTCTTATATAAGCTATTTTTGTCAATCTAGCAGGCATTGATAACGTTCACCGGAACCATAACATGGGTAAGAATGTCCAGTGAGGAGGGTTAAAATTGTATACAGAGCATTTATCTTTACAAAATACTTACGTGGTTTGGGTTTTTCTCTCTTCTTAATTCTTTTTGGTGGAATATTTTCTCTCATATCAGAACTGTACATTCTCGGCATAAAAACAGCCCGGGTTCCATGTTTACCCTTCTTTAACACGGGAACAGAAATAATCTGAAGGTCTCCATAAGTTGGTGAACATGACCTTGATCTCATTTTCGGTGACGTCTGTACACCTCTGCTCCTATGGTGTCTGTCTGGAGAGATGCTGCGTGCTCGATGTGATTCTTCATGATATTTATTGGACGGATCTCGTGATCTGCGAGCTGATTTGGACGATGATTTGACTGGTGATATATCTCTAGCTAAACTATGTAATAATGAGGCACTTCGCGATGATTTGTGTGGTGAGGACATTCTAGTAGACTCACGATCCCATTTAACTGGAGAAATTTCAAAGGATTCTGGCTTTTTGGGAGATTTCTGTTTACGATCTTTAACACGGTATGGAGAACTGTGATTTTTTGGTCTGGTTTCTACAATCTTTCGTCCTTTTTCTTTCAGTTTAACAGGCTTTTCTTTCGCTTTATCTTTTGGCGATCTCGCCTTCTCCATTTTTCTTCTTTTTTTCTCTTCCTTGATCAGCCAACTTGGGGAATCTTCACCGTCTGTCAGAGTTGCAGAGGAACCAGAACTAAGAAGATATCGTAAGGCAGCTTCATATTGTTCCTCTGCATTTTTCTGTTTGCTGCGATTTAATTTCACTCGATGTGCTTCATAGCTACTATCTTTAACTGTTGTCGAAATGTCTTCCGAAATATCCCCAGAGTGAGCTGACAACGTTAAGGTAGATTCACCGCTGAGCAGTTCTGGAGATTCCGAGAAAGATGCAGCAGTCGATGTGGATGATATTGAATTCATGTTATTAGCCAGAACAAAATTACCAATTAAACCACTTTTCTTGGCCTTTAGCAGTTGCTCTAACTTCCATAACTTCTCCATTCGTTTCAATTCCCGACGTCTCTCCTTTTCTATTTTATCTCTCTGGCGTCGAATTTTACTCTTCAGCGTTGACATAGGATCTGACACGCTCAAATCTCGACTGTCTTGTGACTGGCTGTTACTAGTTGCTGCTAGCGTATCGTTACTCTGATCTTCAGGGATAGCATATAAGGTTTCCAAATTTTCTGTTGAGTGCTGCGAGGAACGTTTTGAAGTCTTGGAATGTTTTTCATGCTTTTGTTTCTGAGAAGATCGAGAGTGAGACTTTGCCTTTGTCTCTCTATGAAGTCTTTTTGCTCTCTCTGCTGCAAGAGCTTCCAAGATTTCTGCATAACTTGCATTTATTTGTTCAAAATTCGCTGAATTTAATTGGTCTTCTGAAGAACTCATTTTCTTCGGACGATTAAGAGCCTGACGATGACGATACTCTCGTTCTTCCGCTAAACGATCTTCCAAAATTTGTCGTGAATTCTCCCGTTCGTTAAAATACTGGCTGATTAACTGCTTTGTGGGATGTGTCACTAGACTGGCATATATTTCAGATTGTAAAGGATTAACTTGACTCTCAGCTTCCGACGGCATAATCTCAGAAAATCTTTGCCACACTGCTGGCAGATCTTGTGGATGTGTTTGAGCTATTTCTTGTTCTAGAGCTTGTCGTAAACGTTGAGCACGGAGGTTATGAGGCGTTCGATCTATACCACGTAGATATTCTTCTTCAGATGTCGAATCGTGACCATACTGGGGTCTGAAATAAAGAAGCAAATTTGATAGAATTAAATAATTTATTATCTATTTCGAAAAGATAACATAAGGCTAATAGAACTTGCAAACCACGGCCACTGAAAATAAAGTACTTCAGACTCTCGATTTCACTATCATCAAGACTGGAAACAAAAGCCCTGCATGGCATAGATCACAACTTGGTTCATTTTCACCATTTCATAATACTTCTTTTAGTGTAACATTTTCATTTATGATCGTTTTTTGCCTACTAAAGTAGTATAATTCAAATTATAACAATAAAGGGGATATTTGGTACATGTTCATATATATAGAGGATAGTAATTTGAATGTGAATTAAACTGACCTAAATATAAGACCAACTGCAATTTTTTAATTGTAACTTATACTAGTACTACACTAGGCATTTTTGAAGACATTAATATTTAATTTACAGAAACACCAAAGAATAAATCAAACTCTATTTACCTCTTCCTTTCTGAATGTTTTCTTCTTTCTGTTCTCTTTGTAGGTTTCATGATAATTTCATCATTTGTACTAAAAAAATAAAAATAAATTAATTTATTGTCCACTCTTAAAAGAAATAAACATTTACCTAGAGAAACAGATAAGTTGCAACATACAATGTAATAGGAATGATTTGAAAGGGGGTTTAATGTCCTACTTTTCTGCACCAAGCGACAATATAATAGTGTGTTCAATCTGTTTAGTTTCAAGAGCTATGGTGGATCAATGAGTACATGTATGGTGCTGGCTCACTAACCCAGAGATCCAGGATTTGATCCCAGAGTTGGCAGAGAAAGTTCCTCACGTGCGAAAAAAACATATATACTATTTGCAGCACATTAAAGAATAGGCCATAGCGTCACTGACCAGGTAAAATTTTCCTCATACCACACTGTATGGCCTTTGTCATCATTAGTGCAGAAAAACATTAATCCCACATTTATATTAAGATTCAACAATTAACAGGCTTTTAAAAATACACTGGGCCAACCAAAACATCCGGTCAAACAATATGGTTCTACACCTGTGATTTATCATAAACACATTAATTAAATACAGTATCAGAACTGGCTAATAATATCTTACTCATTAGGAAGTCTAGATCCAGTGTAGTCAGGTTTCTCATTCTGAAAAAAAATTTATAAAAACGTTTTCAAAAACACCATCAACAAGGAAGGATTTTATAAATATAATCCTAAATGACAATAATAAATAATCTCGACAAAGCCATTTTGAGCATAATAATGTAAACAAAGTAATCCTTAAAGACTGTTACCTGAATATAGGACACCGGTGAGTTTCTGGTATCCATGGCAATTGGGGACACAGTTCGGCCATTTTGTCTACTTTCTCTCTCTTCCATCAATCTTTGTTGATCCACGTCTCTGTACTGCCCTCTATCACGGGAGACAACCTGTGTTGGACTTCTGGCACCTGATGGTGAGACACGTCCTGGATAGCCAATCTCTGTTTCCTTTTTTGACTTGGCTGAATCAAATTGATGACCATTTGATTCAAATTGCATTTCTTCAAAATATGGAGAATTTGACCTTTGACTCTGGAAATGGGTTTGAGCTGGAGGAGGTTTATAAAGGTCATCAAAAGGTGAACGTCTTCCAGATTCTCTTTTTTGATGTCTTCCAGGGGAATATTCTGGGGGATTATTACCCATAATTCTCTGATTGCGAACATCCTGCACCATAGCCTCATGTGTCTTTTTGAAATCTGAGACATCTTCATAAACTTGTGGAGATAAAGGTTCCATTGATTGTCTATATTGGTCATTTGATTCAAACAGATTTCTCTTTGCAGATCTCTGAATATTAAAAAAAAAGTTAATGTTAATATAGGACACCATAGAATACCTTTTTTCTATAATCATTTTGAAAAATGATCTTTTCTTGTGTATTGCAATCATGAAACCTTGCCGAAAATTTATTAGTCAAGTAATTTAATTTTCATAATCAGAAAATTTTAATTAACTACACTATTTTGGGAGGGGCATATTATAAATTTCAATTTCATTTATTTTTTGTTTGTATGACATTAGAAATATAATGAAATGGGTTTTAACATCCCAGTTTTCTGCACCGGGTTCTAAAGCAGCAGTAGGAACCTGGTGAACCCTGAGAGAACCCACCAATTTAGGACAGTGACCTTATTCCTTAACACAGTGACTGGCATAATGCACAAGGCTGGTTGTATTATCAAAGCAATGGGGACAAGAACTAGCAGCTCACTGATCATTGCATAGCAATTATGGACAAGTTGTTTTCATTGGTTTACTAGGTTCACTTGTAGACTAATCAAGATAGTCAATACAATTTATATCCATTAAGCTTTTTGGACATGTATAATTCATTTGGGAATTAAAATATTGCGGAGAGAGAGAGAGAGAGAGAGAGAGAGAGAGAAATGGAGTTTAATGTCCACTGGACACAAACTAGGTCATTTTGGGACTAACATATGGTTTAATTTTTTTATTTCAATAATTCGCTTGCGCGTAGGGGTCTTTAGCAGTGGGAGGAAACCGGAGGACCCGGCGAAAACCCACGAGGTTGGACAGGTGACCCTACTCCTTGTCACGTACAACCAGGGAGTCGAAACCCCGCCAGTTGACTCAATGACAGAAAGTATGATACAGCACGCGCGTGCTAACCATTCGGCCATCCCCCCCCCCCCCCAGAAATATGGAGGAGGCTACATCAGGTCATTTAACACATGACAGTCTGTGTTCTAGAGAAAGTTAATATGGAAATCATAAGTGATAAAAACCACCAATTTACAACAGTACAGCCTGATAATGGTCATAACCACTGCTGTAGGATATGAAGACTGTTAGGCTTACTCTTTCTTAAACACTCAATATAACTTACATTACATAAGAATTTCAAATAGTTAAACAATTATGGTTATTCTTTTACATTGTAAAAGTAACACTTACATAAGAATTTCAAATAGTTAAACAATTATGGTTATTCTTTTATATTGTTAAAGTAACACACCTGTTCTTGAGATGGAGAATCTGTTTTATGTTTAACTTGTGGTATTAAATAATCATTTTCATCTACTAGTTGTTGATCGATATTACGACTATCATCTTGTAATGATGAATATACATCATCACAATCAGGCTCATTATCATAAATAAGACCTTCTAGAGATGAGTAGACTCCTTCTTCCATTTCATTTCCTTGGGGTAGGGTTTGTTGGTTTATGGTACGACCTCCTTGAGGCAATGAGTATACCCCACTGTCTGCTTGCTGGCCTGTAGAGCGACCTCCTTGTGAAACAGTGTACAGTCTACTATCTCCATGCTGGTCTATTGTACGACCTCCCTTGGGCACTGTGTACGATCCACTATCATCTTGCTGATCTACAGGGCGACCTGCTTGAGGAACTTGATACAGACCACTATTGAGTTGTTGATTTAGAGTATGAGTTCCTTGAGGAAAAGTGTGTATTCCGCTATCTGCTTGTTGGTTTATTGTTCGACTATCTTGTGGTAATGTGTATAGTCCACTGTCTACTGGATGGCTGATTGTATGTCCACCATGAGATAAAGTATACAGACCACTGTCTATCTGCTGACGATCGTCAGGTTTTCTAGGTAAAGACTGATCACTACCAGAACTCTTCATACTCTCGACTGACTTCTCATCCTGTTAAAAATACAATAACTTATCTTACAAAATAAACAGAGAAAGAGAAATGTTGTTTAAAAACATGTTTTATAATTCACTATTAAAACAAGTTCGAATATGTCTAGAACAACCCTGTGGTTTCTAGCAAGCCTTGTCAAGTTGTGGAGATCAACACAGCTGGCTTGACGAGATAATAGATGTAAAATTAGAAAATATAACACTGCATGAAAATAAAAGCACTAGTCTAAATAGAACCATTGAGTTAGGGGCTTGCTAGCCTGGAGGTCGGGTGTTCAATCCCTACATTGGCCGAGAAAGTTCATCCAGATTTTCTGGCGTGGTTTCCCCTTGTCAGTGAGGCAGGACGGAAGGCCTGACAAGGACAGCTGTCTAGTCGTTCGGATGTGACAAAAAACCGAGGTCCCGTGTACACACTGGCATGCACGTTAAAGATTCCTTTGGCAGTAGGAATTTGATAGACGAGTAAGCCGTAGCGCCGCTGCCCGGGAAAAATATCCCTCATAGCACACTGTATGGCGTATGCCTGTCTTCGTTAGCCCAGTTTAGGAGCAGACAGTAGGACGTTAAACCCCATTTCATTTCATTTCATTTCATTGCATTTCCTCCCCAGCATTTGCTAATTCTGATATTAGCATTCCTGAAAAATGCTCCAAGACAAAACTGGAAAAAACGGATGAACAATGCCTAATTCTGTATCCATCCCCTTGACTTCATTCCCCACAGAATAATAATTACTCACAGTAACAGATTTTTCCTCTATAGTTGATAAAGCTGGTTCTGTAACTAAAGTAGACATCTGATGTGTTTGTTTAGAATAGATTCCACTCTGCTGTTTAGGATCAGGTCGCGACCCTAAAACTGCCCTGGGTAATTCAGGTCCCTGTGCATCATCAGAACCTAAAATAAAACAATTTCATAAATGTTACACAAAATTAGATTTATATCATTTTTCCACAATTTCTTTGGACAATTTTCATTTTTCTGAAACAAGTTTCTTCAACTGAACATTCAGAATTCCAAGTGAGTGCCTGATATTCTCACAACTCCGCTGATGATTGTGGTGTGATGAGAATTGTAGATCTTGTCATATTATTAAGTATGGCCATGTTTTATAATATATTTACCTGTATGTGTACTTTCGACAGTTGTTATACTGTCTGCTATAGATGCTGTATCACTTTCTATAAATGGATGACCACTTGAAGCCCTGTAATGTAAAGTTATTGTGTGATATAGATAGGATAAAAAATTCACTTAACACACTTTAAGACTATACTAACAAGTAGGAGGAAAGCAAAAAATATATTTTTAAATAAAATACAAAAATACTTAGATAATAGAAATGTGTGGTGCAGTCCCCCTGCACTTACTATCAGATAATTGAAATGTGTGGTGCAGTCCCCCTGCAATTAGTATTAGTTAATAGAAATGTGTGGTGCAGTCTCCCTGCACTTACTATCAGATAATTGAAATGTGTGGTGCAGTCCCCCTGCAATTAGTATTAGTTAATAGAAATGTGTGGTGCAGTCTCCCTGCACTTACTATTAGAGAATAGAAATGTAAAAGAATAAAGATTAAAATTGTTTGTGAGATAGGTTGATGTAAATAAAACTGTATCAACAACTATACCTGTAAGGTCTAAATCTAGACTTCGATTTAATTCCACTAGAATCAGAATCTTGAGATGTATAACGAGGTGAAACTGGTGATTGTCTCTCTTTTATATCTTCTTTATCTGAAACAATTATATAAAAATAACATTTTTTTCAAAAATACTTCTTGAAAAAAAAGGGTAAAGTTTTAAGTATACTTTATTTTAGATATTTAACTAACAAGGAGATGTACCATGACCTACCATACTTATTTAAACTTTAAAAACCTCTATCAAATGACGAGACAAGATTTAAAAAACCACAGAACAGTAATTCTAATACTATGGTAGATTTAGTAACCAAGAACAAAATAACCTATTTTGTCAACAAAAATTTCTAAACCCATTGTTTATAAAACCATTAATTGTTTAAAACTTAATCAGGGATTAATTAAGTTAGTAGAGTGCTTAATTAATGAAGTCTGAGATTGATTAATAGATTTAAGAATGCATGACAGACAAAATAAGACAATAAATCTTTAATGGTTTTATCTGTTGCTATAAATAATGAAATCTACTTAATAACACAGCTCTAGGAGAAATACATCAATTAATGTAGTCTATTGTTTTTATATCCTTTCAACCAGTCTCATTAATGGCATGTAATCTGATTGTATTATTTGCTTGATAAAGACTAGAGAATCCTAGAAATAAATAGTAATTGTGTTCCACTAAATTATATCCTGTGTATACATGTATATCCAGTTCAATTACTACATGTAAATAACACTCAAACAGCTCATAAATTGTAAAAAAGAGTCAAGGGTTCTTTTAAGTGCACGCCGAGATGTACACAGGACCTCAGATTTTGTCCCATCCGAATGATTAGACCCAGTTCCTTACCAGACCCTCTGTGTTTAAGAAACCATAATATAAAACTCAGTTCTATTCAATACCTGTAGTGGAATATACTGCTGTCCTTCTAGAATTTACAGGTCCACCAAGGTCTGGTATTTCAGGGTGTCGGAATTCCCAATCTGGGGAACTCTTGCCTCTTTCTCTGTTAGGAAATAAATAGAAGTTTAATACATACAATAACATGCAGTTACAAACATCTTACTAATTTAGTTAAACTTTAGTCAGTGTCGAATTTAATACAAACATGGAACATTCTGACTACTTCGAGTTTAGTCCATGTTGTATCCTGAGGTTTTTTTTTTAACTTAATCAAACAATAAGACTAAGAATAAGATTGTCCATTGGTTACTGATTTAACTTAAACATATATAACATGCAAGAGGTAAATCTTCCTATTTGCAGGTCTTTCTTTAGGCCTGAAATGTTATATAAACTATTAATTAGATATTTATTAACACGATCAAGTCTTGATGCCGATATTAAGTAGATTAGAACGGTTTCCGCCATATTTTGACTTAATTTAAGATGGAGCGAGGCTTACCTACGAACAACCAATACGGTGGTTGCAATTAATACACACATCTTGTCAAACCTTCAAACTAAGGCTAATATTTTCGCTCGCAATAGAGTAATTAAAATGAAACTTTCAATATATACATTTTGCATTATCATTATCTATGTTCAAACTATTATAGTAAGAATGGCTAGCTCTTTATCTAAATCTTGCATAATGTATCAATAAGATGCAGAAAAAAAGTCTGTAACTTTGAAGTTCCATTCAACCTGGGTGCTAAACTGTCCATTGTACAATGATCCGAAGCATCTTAAATAAATTTCAGATATGCTAGACAGACAACATGACAAGATAAGCTGGGAGAATTCATAAATATTTGTGATATTAATTGAAAATCCTAAAAAATATTTGCATTTTACCTTGTTGGAGAAGAAGCTGAGCGTCGATCTGTTGTTGAAAGGCTTGTTTCTGCACCTGATTCAGATAATATATCTGATTGGCTCTTTTCACTAGTTACAGTTGTTAAGGATGTTTGAGTTCTGTAATTAGACATTTTAACATATTTCATTAAATATGGCCTGTTTTTATTTTGAATTCCAACTGTCAGGGGATCTTAATGGGCTGCGAATGGTATACAGGGACCTCAGTTTACTATCTCATCCGAACATCCAGACACTTTTCCTTGCTAGGTCCTCTCCATCCTGCACCACTGACAAGTGGAAACTAGGCTGGAAAATCCTGAGGAACTTCCTCAGCCCAAACCAGGACGGAAAATGATTATTTTCTGGCTCTCCTATTCATACTAAAACATGGTTTGCATCCAAGACTAATAAAAAGAGAGAGAGAGAGAGAGAGAGATGGGGTTTAAAACGTCTACTCGAAACAAACTAGGTCATTTCGGGACAAACACATGGTTTAATTTCATTTCAATAATTTGCTTGTGCGTAGGGGTCTTTAGCAGTGGGAGTAAACTGGAGGACCCGTAGAAAAACCATGAGGTTGGACAGACGACCCTACTTCTTGTCAAATACAACCGGGGAATCAAAACCTCGCCAGCTGACTCAATGACAGACCTTATGATACAGCGCGCACATACTAACCATTCGGCCATCCAACCCCCCCAAGACTAATAAAACTTGTAATTCATTGACAGGTGTGTGAGAATAAGTCAAAATAATTATTTTCTTTCGGACTTTTCTATTCATACTAACTAAGACATGGTTTGCATCCAAAATTAATAAATCTTGTAAATCATTTGTAAATATATAACAAATAAGAAGGTAAATAACAATATAACAGTTGGCACTACTCATATGTTATTACCAATGTCAGAATATCGACATCAAGAAACATAATTAAGGAGACAGCCACCGTCAAAACTGGTAGCATTATTGCATCTTTCTTGTAAATCACTGCTTTGTTTTACATTTTGAGTGATACCAGTATCATTACAGGCCCGTGAATGCAGAGCACACTGGACACTTACGGCTGGTCCCCAGATTCATTCACTTGATTTGATATTTTGTGTCTTGTTCGCAGGTGTATCTTATCGGTTTTGTTTGCGTATAGTGTGGTCATCATGCACTTATTATTATGTAACTACTGGTATTTAATTCAAGAAACAGAAAGATTCCAAAAACTACCCTATTTTACAGCTTATTTTTACAACTAATATTACAGTTAAACTACATGTACCTACCTTAAGGATGTAAACTGTGAATCCGTGACATTTGTCTTGTCAGCAAAATTAGAATCCCCCATTGATTCAAATCCTCTGTAAAAAAAAAAAAAAAAATTAAACACATGAAATGTTAGATTCTGTCTATCGCAGATTTTAGCAGACAACATTGTATAAATAATCATTATAAACATTTCTATTACCAATACCATAAAATATCTTTCAGTCTACACAACCAATCCTGTAAAATAGTATAGCAAATTTCTCTTTGGATTATAACTGTATTCATCCGCATATTTTGATCAAATGTTCAAGAAAAACAAAAATATGAAAAACAAACTTACCTGGTCACATTAGTAACTTGTCCTGATTGTGGCCACATATCCCTGGGGTCATCTGATCTTACTACAGGGCCCTCACGGATTGGCCGTGTCTCATATTTATTTTGAGGCTGGTTTTGTTGATCTTTCTGATAACCATAAACTGGATAACACTGTATCACATGTTTCTTTGGTGTTCTGTAATCGATGCTGTGGGAGGTCAAAGCCGACTCAGCATTACATGGGGCAGACATTTTACCCTTTAAATCAAGACGTGGAACCAGTGGCTTTTGTTGGGTGTCAGTTACCGGGATATTTGACAAATCTAATCTTCGTCGAACTGTATCCATAGCTATTGTGAAGCTCCGTGAAGAGTCATCAAGACCTAAAGATGTATCAGAGAAACTCGAATCTGAACAAACTCTTCGGAATATCTTCTCTCTTAAATCTTTTTCTTGATTGAAAACATCATTTAGATAGCCGTCAGCTTGTGTTGATGGGTTGTCTTTCTTTAAAATACTTTGAACTTGATTGGCTAATCCTCGGGTCTCAGCAGGTGCATGCTGTGTTTCTGACTGGTTTGGATGTGGCTGACCTGAGAAATATCTGCCGGTGGTCCTGTATCTCTCCTCCACAGCTTGACGTTGAGCTCTCAAGGCCTCGATTAAATTATCCACATTGTGTTTCTGGTTTATTGTTTGTAGAATGTTAATGTTGTTGATTTCCATTCCATCTCTCGTTGGTTCATCAATATCTTGTTCCGTTAATGTCACCTCACTTTCAGTCTTATCAGATACATCACCATCAACATGTCCACTGCTGGAGGAAGTTCTTGTCTCTTCCCCTTCAGAACAGTATCTTGTTCTATGGGATGCATTTTTATCAACTTGATCACAATTGACGAATGCTTGGTTATCAGATCTTCTTTGGTTAATAGAAAATACAGAAGTTCGCATTTGACTTAATCTCGACCCAGATAAATCTACATTACCAGATAAAATTGGCTGTTCCATACTTCCACCGCTGTTTCTACCAATGAAAAGGCCTGTATCATCATAACCAATATCGGCAGCATAATCCCACATTAATTTCTTAGTTTTTTCTGGAGTTGAGCTAGTAGTGCTTGGAACTATATCAGTACTCTCAGCATCTGAAGAATGCTGAGGATCTTTCGAAACTTCAGCTAAGGAATTAGTTTTAGTTTCTGTTGATGTGTTACTCTCTGGATGTTGTGTAGTATTCTGATTACTGAAACTACAGCCAGAATCAAATGATGATTTGATGGATAGATCTGAAATTTTATTACTGGTCAAACTTTTTTGTATTTGAAGTAAATCCAATTGAATCTTCTTATAGTCCATTGGTTTTTCGGGACTATTTTGTGGAGAAATTGAGATGTTGTGACCAATAATAGGATTATCTTTCTTCATCTGTTCTAGGTAAGCAGTGCTCGATAAAATACCTTCTACTTTCGATTGCAAACTACCAGATTGGTAGGATGTCTCTTTGTCTCTACTTCCAGTGTTTTCTTGCTTCCCAAGAGAGGAGTCTTTGCTTTCAAGCTGGTCTCGTGCTTCAGCACCTGCTACAAACTTCTGTCCAAATATTGAGGTAAACCTCCCTGTTCCATTAGAAAGTCTGGTTTGGGGTTCAACTCTGTCTGGTTCTGATAGAAGGTTGCCTAGATCAGAAACTTTTGAGCTGCCATTTGAAAATCTGTCTCCAGAAGAATGAGAATAACCATGTGTGTGGGAGCTTTGTGTATAGGATCCAAAAGATGTTCTATTTGAAGGCACTGGTTTTGTTTTGGATGCTGTGTCATGACTTGAACTTTGGTATGGGAAGGTAGCCAAATATTCTCCAACATCAGCTAAAAAGTTTGGATCTGTGCGTGATATTCTAATCATGTCTAAATTATCTGTTGAGGCAAACTTTTTTCCATCGATCTTCTCAGATGCATCCTCTTTTGTAAGATCATCCATGGATTTGGAATATGAAGTATTTAAGTTTGTTTTCGTTGTGTTCCCTGGAAGAGACTTCGTAGTTTGTAGATTTAAGTCTGAATTTTGGAAAGATTTTAAATTATTCTCTAGAAGCCTGTTGGCATCTTCACGTATTTGATCCGTACTCTTCAAATCCACTGGTGTCTTTGATGAGAGAATCTCCTTTATCATTAAAGTATTTGATGAAGAAGCTGTTATTGGCTTTTCCTGTTTCTTTTGATCAACTTCTAGTTTCTCTTCATTGTTTGTTGTAGTCTTATCCACAATTAGATTTGATACAGATCCCTCTAAACATGGTGGACCATCAATAGAATCTGTGCTGGAAGAAGCAATATGATTTTCTTCAGCATCTTCTTTTTCAGGTTGAACTTCAGGTGTAACTTTAGCTGGAGGTGGAGTATTGCTCCTATCATCCTTATTGACTGTAGCAGCTTTGTCATTAATATCATCCTCAAACAGCAGAGTCTTGGGAGAGACATGTCCATTAACCAGGTTAGCAGTATTATTAACGATTTCAGCTGGCTTGTCTGACAAAACAGTTGAGGCTTCAACTTCCTTCAACTCCTTAAAAGATGTTGAATCATGCTCCGTAGCTTCAGAAACATCACTCAGAGTAATGTTAAATCTATTAGCTTGCTGCTGCATGTTCGTTGAATTTAAAACAGTACTGGATAACAATGGCGAAAATTCAATAATGGAAGAAGATGATTTATTTGTTACGTTATTAGGTGTTGAATTAGTGCTACTTGATTTCGTGAGACTTGATGTACATGAGGTTGATGCTGGAAAATATGAGGACACTGGATCATGCTTTAATGACTGTGCTCTGGAGCTTGTTAGTGCTGGAGAGAAGTTTGAAATTTCTGATTTTGTTTCTTCTTTAACAGTTTCCATAAAGGGTGGCGTAGGTTTATCTTCTGAATTTTCGTTGTTTGTGAATTTTGAACTTGAAAGTTGAGGAGAAAAGGAAGAGATATCTGATTCTTTTCCATTAAAGTGTTGCTCTTTGACTACCTCAGATTCCGTGTCAATTTCTGCTATTTCTGTAATTTTCTTTGCTTGGGGTTCCATTCGCGGTGTCAGATTAGAGTCTGATTCTGTTGTGTACGGATTCCAATCATTATCAGATAAACCAGAAGCATTTTCTGGATATTTAGCTACACTTGATTTTAATCGGCGACTCTCTAAATCTGAAGATAAATGAGAGCTATCGCTATCCTCATCCATAAGATTTCCGCCGGATAAATTACCAGAGATAAATTCACTGGATATTTCCATGATGGCTTGCTGGATTTCTTCATAATTCAGATTGGTTTTTGTTTCAGTTTGATCTGCTGATGGAGAAACATCTGAAAAATAGAATTGAAAATATATTTTAAAACACTCTCCTTTAATGATCATTTCAACCCTATTTCAATGTCAGTGATAATCTGAAAAATAGAATTGAAAATATATTTTAAAACACTCTCCTTTAATGATCATTTCAACCCTATTTCAATGTCAGTGATAATCTAAGAATATCGTATGCATAATCTAATAAATCACTACATGTGAAGACTACAAAAAGATACCCACTTCAAAAAAGAGTCAGGTATGATAGGTCACAACCTAATTTCCATGCAGTTACGTTCACCGACATCAAAGTTGCATTCATTTCTTGTACATGTATTTTGTTTTCTGTTATTATTAAATTGACAGCAACCAGAGGTTCAAGACTGATATATTCTTTTAGCTTATATGTACATGTAACCTGTTTTGGGAACTTGTTAAATAAAATAGTAAATTTACCTGGTGATTCCTCTGTTTCGACTTCTGTATTATTGTCATCATGGTTACAACTTAATGATGAAACTAGAGTAGAATCCATATCTAAAGTATTATCCTCTACTAAGGCTTCAAACTATATAATATGAAAAACATCATTAATGAGACCATAATCAAATGATAGGTACATATACCTACAGTGTAGTAATCTAAATTATTTTGAGCTCATGTACTGTTCAGTAATCAGCTAACAAGTTTGGAGGAAAAAAAGATGGCAGTATGAAAACAATAGAAAGCAATATGAACTTTTGATGGCTTACATGTACATGTACGAAACAACTGATTGATTTGAATAATTTTTGGACCAATATCTTTTTTAATAAGACTACCTTCTATTGCATATGGTCTAAAAATCTGTATTTGCCTTTTACATAAAGTGGAATATTGGGCCTTTAATTAATTCTACATTTTGATAATACCTTTGAAAAGACAATAATAATCAAGTACAATAAATGTGAAGTATATGTAGTGTGGAATAAAATTAAGATGAAACTACATGTATCCACTATTTGCTGCATTTATATACCATACCTTGACTCATAAAGCCCACAATCAGGCATACATGTAATATTACAAAAGCTAGATGCATCATAATCATACATGTAATGACAATTGAAAAATTGCTACATGCACATTTGCCATGCAGTCTTTTGATTGATCTACACTCTACGTCCAATTTAGTAAACACTGACGTTAGTAAACCTTACGAGACTTATACTTACTTGCGTTGTATTATTATCAAAGTTAACTTTCTTTGGTGTATTACTTTGTTCATTCACAATTAAACTTCTTTCAGGCACATTTAAATTTTGTGTCTGAGTTTCTCTTTTAATGTCCATCACTCTGTCAACCTGTGTGATTGCTTGACAGGAAGTTGATGAACTTTTCTTGTCAGTAAAAGAGTTTGTTTTGTTGAGTTTATTGTTAGAAGTGCTCTGATTTTGAATAAAGAGATTCTCAACACAAATAGAAGGTTTTGATGCTTCTAAAGGTTTATGCGATCGCCTTCTACTTTCACTTGATTCTGATGTATGCGAAGTTGAACTCAAGCGAGAGTTGTCTTTGAGACTTTGATTTGAGTAAGTTGATAAGCGATCTGAATATACAAAACTGTCTTTTGATGAACGTCGAGAAAAATCAATTGATCTTCTTTCTAAAGACGACAGACTTTCAAAGGCATCAAAACTTGGCAAAGAGCCACCTTTGAATGGATTTTCTTTGAACTTTAAAATATCTTGAACGTCATCACAAAACTCTTTTTCAGAATTCTGAGTATTATTCTTTGTAACTAAATTATCTGAAGTATCAAAATATTTTGTGATTGGGTTCAGCAATCTTTGTTCTGTAATCTGAGGTTTTTCTAAGATCTGTAACTCTTCACAAACTGAATGATCTTTTGCTAATTTTGTCTCTAGCGAACGAGACGCTAATTTTGTCTCTAACGATCGAGACGCTAGTTTTGCAGATTCTTGTCTGGATTTCTTGCTTTCTGTTTGATTAGAATCAGAATGCTGCTTTTCCTTTAATGGTAAAATATCCAAATGAGAATTCTGAATTTGTGCTGATGATTCCTCACAATTTAAACTAGTTTTACAGACACCTTTAACATCAAGATGGGAATCTGATTTATTAGATTTCACAGACGTGGCAGAATTGTTAAATAAATTTTCAGTATTTTTACTTTTCTCACAAAAATTATCAAGGCTGGCCTTTTTGTTACTTTTATCTGAAGTTATATCAAAATATGAACAACTATTTACCGAAGAATTGTTATCCTCCCTATGTCTTGTTTTAAAACGAATCGCTTCAAAAAGCTTATCAAGGTCAGATTTATCTTGCTTGTTATTTACTGTTTTGTCAGTTACAGATGAATTATTATGTTCAGTAGTTTTGTCAGACTTAAGAACCTTTCGATGTAGTTCATCAATATCAGACTTATGTTCTTCGGAACTTTTGACACTTTTCCTCGACTTCGGCTTAACTTTTTCAAAGAGTATTTCGATATCGGATTTGGAAGTCTGAGTGGTATGAATCTCAACTTTGGAATAGGATTCTAATGTCTTAGAATCAGGAGGATTTTCATTCTTTCTTCGATTGTTTGGAGAAGTTTGAATTCTAGGTATTCGACTTCCAGACAACTGCCTTTGACGACCTTGCTCCTTTGATGCTGGGTTCAAATTTGATTTTTCCTTTCCTGTGGACTGACGACTTCGTAACCGTAATTGCTCGGCTTGCTCATAAAGTTTTTGTTCATAAACTAATTTTTCCTGATAACCACTTAAATGGCATTTCTTGGTGATTTGCCCTTTACGTTTTTCATGAGATCTACTTTCTGATTTCTTCTTTTCCTTTTGACTGTTGGAACAATATTTTTGATTTATTTGACCACCAAGTGAGGTTTGACTTGGTATTTTAGAATCTCTGTAATGCTGTGGACTTTTATTTTTCACAATACTTTCATTCCCATAAATTTTCTCAACATCTATGGAATATTTGTCGTTGATTTTGGTTGTAGTACTTTCTTTATTTTCCGGGACTAGGCCTACTGATGATTTTTCAACGAATTTTTTTTCGCCAGTATTCAGAACAGAACATTCATTAGAAAGTCTCCCTAAGCTATACTGACTCAAATCTGGAAATGTCAAACACAAATCTCTTGAATCATTAACGTTTAACGAAGTCTGTTCGCTTTCTGAGCTCTTCTTACTTTTCCTTTCAGAAATCAAAGTTCCAGTCGTAAGATCACACACTTGCAAACTTTTACGATCATCGAAAGAAGATAACTCGTCTGTAAAACAACTTGATTTACGGCTTGAAAGATTGTATTCCGATAATCTGCCACTTGGTTCTTCTACACTTGTTTGTGAATATCTTAACCGATCTTTTTGGGGAGTATCTGGATCTAAACTGTACTGACTAAGGCTACTATTACTAGAATAAACTTCTGAGTTGTGTGATTCTCCATATCTTGATTTCCATTTAGATTTAAAAGTTTTTAAACTACAATCGTCTTTATCTGAATCTGGGTCAGCAGATAACTCTAACCATCTACTTGTTTCAGTGGTCTGCAAAGAAAGAAATGATATTTCTGTATGCTCAGGTTTATGATTGCAATAACGTATACATGTACAAGGGAAGTCTTCCGGGGGGGCAACTCGTAAGCCAAGGCTCTTTCACAGTCACCCTTCGAAATGTACATCCTGCAATATGTGCACTCGCCTGATTATTAAATTGTTAATGATTATGGAAAAGCCAAATTAATGTTCAGATGGTGATACATGCAGTGGTGTTATTACCAATATCTTCCTTTCACAAATCTTGTGTATAGATGAACCTAGTACACCGTGGTAGTTTATTTAAAGACAAAATTTGGCACATGTGCAAGTCCAAATGCTACCAACAATTCTGAATTTGATACAAATCCGGAACTAGGAGAGTTACAAAAAAATTAATATAGGCCTATATATGAAATAAAATGCAATCTTTAAATAAATCAAATGCAGTCTTTAACTTTAAACAAATTAAAAACAAGTATTAAATTCTTCTCTTTGCTTATTTTAGCTAGGCCTAAAAATAATTTATAATAAATAAATTATGAGCGTCAAATATACAGGATCACCATGCACAGGCATGACAAAAATGCAGTTTAATTACCCTGTTTACCAGATTAACGTAAAGATCTATACTACTTTGAGTTGACTATAATAATATAATTTTGTTTGTTGTAAGCAATATCCTGGTTCCATACCTTTTTTGACTACCTTGAGGAAACATTTCCATCAGGAAAATAGTGTTTCAACTCCTACATAATCCAACACTAATCAAACACACGTAATACTATCATTTTCGTGTACTCAAGAATCAACCATCAACCTTTTTTTACGCCGGGAGATTGGCGGGGGTAAGGAACAAGTTATGACATGAAATAACTTGCTGCTAACAATCGAAGAAGTGTCAACATTGAACAGAAGCCAAACATGCAATATTAATGTAATTATAGGTGCATACTACATTGATGCCCATACTAATCAAATATTCGCACATTTGGTATGACATAGGGGTGCAGCGTGCATTAAACGAAACGTATTAAAATTGTTATACCTCATTAGACATGGCTCTTTTTATTAAAATATTATTTTTGTTTTTGTTTTTCAATGTTACCGCTCTGTTCGAATGGCGGCCTGTTCGGTAATTTCCGCGAACTTCCGACTGATGCAAAAACCCCATATCTTTCATGTGAAGATTGAAATTGGCACAAATAGTTATGATAATTCGCTTCTCTAGAAACAAAACCGATCGTAATCTCCAATTTTAATGTTTCACTCCACACAAATTTGAAATAATTTGCGGAGATTATTTCCCATCATGCCTGTGAAAAATGTCAGCGCCCATGAATGTTATCATGTTGATTGTCATAAGTGTTCATTTCTTCCAAAATTCACTTTGGTGAATCGTATTTTGTGAAACTATTGAAAATGATATAGCTATTGCTGCAATACCGAAATGTCTTCGAAAATATATTGCAGACATCATTTTTTAAAGCATATTCTAAATCTACGAAAGCCAAAACTTTCAATCAAACATAACCAAATTTTGGGTTGTATTGTTGACAATGATAATTATGATATTAAAAGTCAAAGACACCGGTCAAACGAACGAGAAAAGGGTCTAAGCTCGTTAGTGCGCCCAATTCCTGTGAAACTAGCAAATAGTGTAGATGACATTAATGTGGGAGCTGAATTGACAGGAGGAATTAAAAAAGGTGAACTGTTTTGTTTGGCTTTGCTTGCCACTGGCACTGTACTGTCGCTTTCTCACACCATCCCCATTGAGTGACTTCAGTTTTGGTAGTTCCACCCCACCTGTAAATATGAGGCTGGTAATGAAATAAAATGTATATCATATGTTCAGTTACTAAATGCCGTATAAGGATTTCAACTATAAATTAGACATTTATTAACATGACAGGAACATTATCAAGTCTTGATGCCTTTGGATAGGTCCGATTTTAAGTAGTTTAGAATAGTTCACATATTTAATGATTTAATCTAAAAATGATGAAGGGAGGCTAAGCTTCGAACAACCAATGCAGTGGTTACAATCAGTGCACACATCTTGTCAATCTTCAAAGGCTAATATCTTCGCTCAGAAAAAAGTAATTTAAATAAAATTTTCAGTTTATTCATTTTGCGTTATCTATTATTGAACTATTATAGCAAGAACGGCCAGCTCTTATCTATTATTGAACTATTAAAGCAAGAACGGCCAGCTCTTTATCTAAATCGTACATAATGTTTCTTTTAATTTCTGATGCAGCTCTTTAATATTGTATGTAGAATTTGCAAATATTTTACAAAGATACTAGGGGGAATTATGTTTGCTGTACGGTAACTGTCGATAGAGTAATAGTTCTATAACAGTCTAGTCTCCTTCAAATAATTTGAAATAAATGTTTGATCATACAATATTTCAGATATATACATGTATATGTATTTCAAATATGGACAAAAAAATCATCTCTTGACTTCACAATTCATAGAAAATTAAAAAGTTACATGTTTGAAGATTGAACACATAATATATTCAAATCCTATTTCTTAATGATCTCATTTAACTAAGAGACTGCTTTTTTTTTCAGATGAACTGTTGAAATTATTAAATCAATTTGCAAGAAGACCAATTGTACTGAAACTAGCAGCAGAAAATGGTTTAGATAGTAAGAATGTTTTCTACTGGGTAATCTTTGGCGAATTTGTATAAGAAAAAATAAAAATACACACACAAGAGATCCTTTTGAAATACAAAACGAAATATAAGAAAACAAAAGCTGTTACGTGATAATGCATGTAGCTGAAATCTACAATATAGTAAATAATTGTAATCAAAGAGGATCAAATCTTATCTTTCCATAGGAAAATATTGCTTCAATTACATGTACCTGCATTTTTATAGGGTACACATGTTCATGTATGCACATTACTGTTTAATTCGAGTTGAAGACTTTTTTTTAACAAATACTTTGTTTCAGTAGTGTTTGTAATTTTCTTATATAAATTATTATTATTTCAGCAACATTATTCCACAAAGCTTTTATAAGTTTCCGTTTATTTTGTGCCGATTCTGAACAGTTACCTGTCGATCTTCACATAGTTCTAAGTGATATTATACAAAATGCAGGTAAGTTTCTTTATGATATTACTCATATGGTAAAACATAATAAGGGAATATTGGCTTTGGTGGAAAAGGATTTTAATTTTTATCTAAATTTTTTTAAATTTATCTTTTTCAGGTCATGTTGATGATATTTTTCCATATTTCTTACGACATGCCAAACAGACATTTCCACATCTTGATTGTATGGAAGACCTACAGAATATCAGTGACCTTAGATTGCCAGCTAATTGGTAAGTATTGTACTAGTCCAGGTTATTTGTCCCCAGACATATAAAATCTATTAAAATTTAACATAAAGTAATAAATTTGATTTGAATTACTCAATTTTGAAATAACATTTCTTGACATAATGGTTTTAGATATTTCATTAACTTGTAGAAAGCATATGGTTGTATCACAAATAAAATTCTTACTCAATTCTTATGACATTATGCAAGATAAAATTAAAATGCCAGCAAAGAGACTACTGAAAAGTGTCAAAAATGTACTTTTGGGGTGGGGATATGGCTGGTACACGAATCCATTCATGTGACTAGGTTGTGCTTTTATGGCTTATTATATACATGTTTATGGCTTTATCTTTTGAGTTTCTAGTTAATTGTTATATGTGATGTTTCTGCACTGACTATTAGAATAAAATCGCTGTAGGTAATGCTCTGTATAACAAATTATTGATTACAGGTATCCAGAAGCTCGATCTACACCGCGTAAAATAATCATCCATGCCGGTCCTACAAACAGTGGTAAGACATACCATGCCCTGGAACGATTTCTATCTTCCAAATCAGGTGTATACTGCGGTCCTTTAAAACTTTTAGCTGCAGAAGTTTTTCACAAGAGTAATAAATTGGTGGGTATACATGATTATTTCACAGTTATTAATAATGGAAATCTTACGTAATACATACCTTATCTATTTTTGTGTGGAATTTAGTTTTAAACAGTATTCTGTATCGTTGATGTTTTCATTGAATCAACACTGGCAGGGGGCCATATGGTTGAGTAACAGGTCATTGTCCCCAACTAATACGTCCCAGACTCAAGCAGCAATGTGTGTCGGGAAAAACCTTTGGGATTTCTCTAGTCTGGTTCCTACTGTCATGGGTGGCATCTGTGTACAAATCGTTGTGCAAGTAAAAGAACCTGTGACAGTTGAAATTTGAAGAAGTGTAATGACCGAAGTGTTCGGTTAACTACTGAACTAGGCCTTACATTATCATTAACAGCAGTGTAATGTTATTTTTTGTGTTGATTTTTTTATGTGATCTAGTGTGTTGATATTTTCAGGGTTCACCCTCTGATCTAATATGTTGATATTTTCAGGGTACACCATGTGATCAAATATGTTGATATTTTCAGGGTACACCATGAGATCTACTGTGTTTATATTTTCAAGTACACATGTGGTCTAGCTAGTATGTTGATATTTTCAGGGTACACCATGTGATCTAGCTAGTATGTTGATATTTTCAAGTACACATGTGATCTAGTGTTGATGTTTTCAGGGTACACCCTGTGATCTAATATGTTGATATTTTCAGGGTACACCATGTGATCTGGTTACTGGAGAAGAAAGGCGAATGGTTAATGGAGATGATAATCCAACTGATCATGTTGCTTGTACCGTAGAGATGGTCAATGTTACAAAACCATGTAAGTTACATTAGAGACAAATTACTTAACAAATAGGGGGTGGGGGCTTCAAATTTAGTATAGCTAAACGAAAAAATCGTCCTGGACAGCATTACAAAGAAAAAAGCAATATGTATATTTTCCGGTCATTTCAAGAGCCATGGTAGTTCAGTGAATATGGCGTGACTCACTAACCATGAGGTTGAGGGTTCCATCCTGTAATTGGCCATAAAAGTTGCTCAGGATTCCCCTGAATATTTACATGTGGTTTTGTGAAACATACTATACATAAACTTTTGTAAACCTCCATAAGATACATATGCTTTGTGAAATGGTACCCTTGTCTTGGAATAGATTTCCGCTCATTAACTTCTGTAAGTTCTGTATGCTTTTAAATCTGTTATATAAACAGTTGAAGTTGCTGTAATTGATGAGATTCAAATGATAAAAGATCCACAGAGAGGATGGGCATGGACAAGAGCACTGCTGGGTCTCTGTGCACAAGAAGTACATCTGTGTGGAGAGGGTTCAGCTATTAATATGGTATCTGATTTGATGACAAGTATTGGTGATGAAGTTCAAGTACGTTATCTTTTACTTGATTTTACTTTGGCGCAGGATAGCCTTGTTGTTGCTGACGTGTCCTTAAACCTCATTCAATTCACTTAATTTTTGGGTAGATGCTAAGTTTTTATTTTCCTTAGAATCCAAGGAGATTTTATAGAATCATTAAAAGCAATCTGATTAAAACACAGATCCTACTTCGTTTCGTTTTTATAGTTCAAAATTCGTTTTACTTGTCTTTAATACACTAGGATCTGGAAGAGTTGTTTTCATTGACGTGTTCTGAATAGTGTGAGATATTAGCCAATGAAACTGTCTGTTACGGCGTGGGTAATCCACTAGTAACATCAATGCTGATTGGTTAATCAAATGTCTGACGTCATAGTGTAGGCCATCGAAAGTATAAAAAACGAGACGAAATATAGATCTGTATTTTAATCAGATTGCATTAAAAGATTCTCTCTTATAAACTGTCCTAGAATGTTTACCCTGGAAAGTGAGACAACTTGCTGGTTCTGATATACTGTTCATCAACTGTTCACACATATTGTATAGACAAAATATCTCTACGTTTTTGAAGTTTGAGTTGGAAATTTGTTTATAAATTACATTTCATGTTTGTCCAAAATATTTGTCATATAACAAAATCACAGTTACTGTGCAAATGTGTCACCTATTCTTTGATTAGTATTTGTGTATTAGTAGAATGTCTAATCGGATATATTTTATGACTGTTTTCAAGAAATAAATGTTGTTTTAATATGCTAATTTATTTAAATATATTATAGGTGAGGAAGTACAAACGTTTAACAAAGTTGACATATTTAGACTACGCTGTAGGTAGGTATAATTCTATGGTAACTGACGTAGTGTCTGGCATATCGCCCTGTATGGGTAGGTTGGCTGGTGTGTAGAACTGTGCATAATTTAAAAAAAAACAAATTAGTCATTATATCTTTCGCTTAAATTGTAAAAAAATATTCTTAACTAGTCATAAGACTTAAGTGAAACCGTAAAAAAAATTTCACACTATATTATTGAGATGAGGCGGAGTCAAATTGGGACAAACACAACCGGCCTCACTTTAACGCTGATGGTGCGTCTGCGCTGACTAGTAACTACACCTATAATTTATAGCAAAACTTTCTGTCATCTTCTTAATATTGATGTCAGGCTCTCAATGATTTTATCTGAGCTGTAGTGTGACCTTATATTGTACAGTTATATATATTTATACGCCTATCAAAGTTCCCTCTTTTCTTGCTCAAATATATGAAATTTTGTGAGTTTTCAACAGAATATTTTAAATCTTGGTGAGATTGTTCATGGGGGAAATAAATATTTATGTTTTGGTATGATATTTTTTTTCCAGAATCATTTGAAAATGTCAATCCTGGTGATTGTATTGTGTGTTTTAGTAAAAATGATATTTATCATATAAGTCGCCAGTTAGAAATACGTGGCAAGGAAGTGGCAGTTATATATGGAGGATTACCCCCAGGTAAATAATCTATTTGAATGCTGTTTTACTTTCCTTTGCTATTTTGTGGACCTAAAGAAGAAATGGGATATGACTGTAAAAGTTTAATTTTATTGTTTTTATATTTAATTAAAAAGGCAACTCATTTAAAGATGGGTTCCCAGAAAAGTATTTATCGGGTAGTTATTTCCAATAAAAGTATGGCAATTTTGGTATATATGGAAAGCAGAAATATCCAATCTTACTAGAAAAATACTGGATTCCCTGAAAAACACTCATGGAGCGCACACAGGACGAAAATGTTAGGGTTTCCCTAATCGACAGCCTGACGATTAGGAGAGTCTGCGCGCGTGACTTCAAAGGCTGCAAGCGGAGATTGGGCGCTTGATGTACATGTTGATAAACTTTATGAAGCGTTAGACGTACAACACTTTCTGAGATAAAAATCACGGAAAAAGACGCGGGCAGTGGATAATCCGAAAATTTAATTAGGCTTCGATATGTGTAATAAATAGTCTGCGATTAAAGACAACATCGTCTTGTGTATGCAATGAATTCTCCTCCGAGAGGGAGTGGTAAGTAACGTGACACAAACATGACCTCTTTTGATCGATTTTTCTATAGCCAGGGTATTCCCTGGCAGTTGCAATGTTTTGAGAAGGATTTTAAGCAAAATTATGATAAATTAATTAGTTTTAATATGTTTTTAGTCCAAATATATCATCAAATCACCCAGTTTGTACCCGGGAATGTATCTTTAAAAATCATCATAATAAGGAAATGTCATTTTAAACAAATTACCTCAATTCCACCCATGTATGCTTGTACCTAGTCATTCAGATAGGACACAAAAACCAAGATCCACCTTATATATTGGTGTGCATGCTAACGATTATTTATGACTTGAAATAATGTTGTATTATTATTATTCATCCAATATACCTTTATTTCCAGGTACAAAACTTGCTCAAGCCCAGAAGTTTAATGATCCAAATGATCCATGTAAAATAATGGTGGCTACAGATGCTATTGGTATGGGATTAAATCTGTAAGTTTACATTCAGAGTTTGTTTCAGAGTAACCCGGGTTTCGGTTTATTTTCTCAAACCTTAATTAAAGTCTTGGATCTCTTCGACCGCAGTACTGCACTATCAAGAAGGGCGTTATTGGGATCTAAGATGACGATGTGTGCAAGTCCAAACATAACAAAGATCTTTTGCATAGTAAAGATTTGACATAGTTATAATTGACGAGTAATCAAAATGTCCGTCTGTCTCTTGGTGGTTTAACGTCTACTTCCACAGTAGTGATATCACAGCCATCAAAATGTGATAGTGATATTTATTAGATAGCTGGCAGTTATGAAGTTTCTAGTGAACACATTTTATTGTAGAATAGGTTCATGAGTAAAGGATATTTATTACACAAAATATTTGAACAAAGTAGGCCATATTTGTTTGTAGAGGATTGTCTCGCGGTTGAATTTATTTTGTATCGACGAATACACCCGAAGTCAGATACTTCACATGGTTGTGAACAGTGTCTACAGTATACAATCCGATATTCATATCGATTACTCCTACTCGCAAGCGAATTATTGAAATAAAAATTGAACCATGTGTTAGTCCCAAAGTGGACGTTAAACCCCCTCTCTCTCTCTTTCTCATATAAATTAGTGAAAGGAGTAGAAAACAATTTGAACTCTAATTGCCCACTTCAAGTCAAGTTTATATATGTGGGCTACTCTGTGTTCTGAAATAAAAGGTTTTGGAAAGATCAAGCAGGATATCAGTCTTGTTTTATGGCCTAGTAGAATTCAGTCATGGTGTAATTAGTTATTTTTCTGTGATTATAAGATTGTGGGGAAACAATGAAATAACTTGAAAAATTTCAGGTCAATCAAGAGAATTATATTTTATTCGATGATGAAACCAACTTTAAATGAAAAAGGTGAGAAAGAAATGGATGTTATCAGTACGTCACAGGCATTACAGATCGGAGGTCGAGCAGGACGATATGGTACAGAATATGAAAATGGTGAAGTAACTACATTTAGAAGTGAAGATTTAAACATATTGAAAGATGTCTCGTCTAGGTTGATTGAACCCATTGAAGTGAGTTTAGTTTAAACAATATTTTATTCAATAAACTGAATTGGATTGAACAACAGGCAAAGGCCTATGTAAGTTCTCTCCAAACATATAAAATAGTTAAATTTTATGTTTAGAATATACAATGGTGGATATATGTACAGACAGTGAGTTTTCAATTTATAATGCTTATACTGAAACACCTTCACCATGTCAGCTTATTATATTTGTCAGATACAGAGAGAATTTAAATGCATTACTTTTATAAACTATAGACTACGGTGTTTTTCATTCATACCTACATCTATCTATCTATAAAATATATTACATGTAGTCCAGTATCTTTCATATAGAAACACTGAGCCAAATAGATTTATAGATCAGTTTGCCTGTTTTTGTAACACAAGTCGTAATTCCTGCCTTCAACAGTTGATTCTTGTGGACAAGCTTGAGAGTTGATTATTTTGTGGTTATGGGGAGAGTTATTGCCCTTGCTTCAAAATTCAGTGAACTGGAAAATATGATTCCATAACAGAATTTCATGAAACTTGTAAGTTACAAGTTGTAATGTTTTCTGATTTACACAGAAAGGCCAATCTTATTAGACACTGTTCAAAGTGGTGTTTTATAGAAAGGTATTTGAGGAAAATGTATTAAATTTATTCCTTTATGATATAATTACATATTTTTTTATATAAATCAAGTTTGTCTTATTCTGATTTATTTTGTAGCAAGCTGGTTTACATCCAACAGCAGATCAGATAGAATTATTTGCTTATCATCTACCTAAAGCCACTCTTTCTAATCTTATAGTAAGTTATATTTTATATGTCCTGATTCAATTATGCTATCGGTACTTATTTCCGACTGAAAGGAAAATATACACTTTCAGACCATACACAAGAAAAAGTCTTACATAGGATACTTACATAGTGCTAAACTCCAAACAATAAAGTCTGCTCAAAGCGCACATAAAGTAATTTCTAAGTTACGTTAAAGTTTGTCTTACAAAAATAATTTTGGTCCAAAAATTAACGTTAGTTATGACCATATGACCATGTAAAGTTCACACCGCTATCTTTAGTTTTACTGAATGCCTAATAGGATAATTCATTTTTATTCATGAACATAAATCAGCTGAAGATGCTATCTATCCTTCCCAGGGTCTTTTTTTCTACATTAATTTGTCTAAATTACATCTAAAGAACACCTTTCAGGCATTAGTTTTGTTAAATTAAAATAAGGAAAATAATTATTTTGAAACTTTGATGTGGAACATTGTTTTGAATGAAATACTATTGTTAAATTTCACAAAATAAGTATAGTCACGTGGAACTCAATGTGATTAAAACACAGATCCAATTTCGTTTCGTTTTTATAGTTCAAAATTTCGATTTTACTTGTCTTTACTACACGTGGATCTGGTAGCGTTGTTATTTAACTTGTGTTCTGCTTGAAATGAGGGGTCAGCCAATCCAATGGTCTGTCGAATCGAGCGTTTGACCTTTTTTGCGCGGAACTGTGGGTAGACATTAGCGGCAATAGAAATCAAAACAAAGCAAAAGTAGATAAAAACTACATGGTGATCGCTAATCGAATGACTGACGTCATCGGGTCAAATGTCGCTTGCTTCGTACCTGACGTCATAGAACGTGAACTCCCACTATAACTTGTTAGATCTACATGTAGTGTAGACCATCGAAAGTATAAAAAACGAAAAGAAATATAGATCTATATTTTAATTAGATTGCATGGAACTTGGAGACGGGGAAATTTGTACTGAACAAAAGAATTTGACTTTACAGTAAATGGCCACCACTTCCACACTCTTTTTGTTCCAGGTTATTACGTCTACCTCCAAAATCATCAAGTTCTGTTGCATGAACTTTAAACACTATTTCTCGGTCACTCTTACAATAAACTGTGTAATTTCTATTGTAGGATATATTTGTTACTCTATGTCGATTGGATAATGATAATTATTTTATGTGCGATATGGAAGATTTTAAGTTTTTAGCTGATATGATACAACATGTGCCTTTAAATTTACGAGTGCGGTATACCTTCTGCTGTGCTCCGATACCTAAGAAACAACCATATGTCTGTACCATGTTCCTTAAGGTAAGTAAAAAAAACTACCTTGGAAACAAATAGGATTAAGGATCTTGTCATTTTGACAGGTCAATGAACTTTTGGCCATTTTTATTTTATGATGGTAGTAAGAACTTTGTCTGGACAGAAGATGATTCTATCTTTTCTACAAATTTCAACAATCAAGGGATGAGATCGTCAATTTAAACTACTGTGGTGCACATGATGATGAATCTTCTGTTTTCTATCCAATCCAAATGGCTCTGAACACTTCCCTTGTCAGACTTGGGAACTATGCATGGAAAATCTTGAATACCCATGACTGGATACACTAAATAATCACATATTGTTTGTGTCAAGGTTGTGATTGGAACTTTGGTCTTTCTAGAAGTGTGGTAGACAACATATTAGACACATACACCTCTTAGATGTAAATACTATATTATAAACAAGAGTTTGGTTATTATTTCAGTTTGCCCGTCAGTTTAGTAGAAATGAGCCATTAACACTAGACTGGTTGTGTCTACAGATTGGATGGCCATTTGCACCACCCGGTGTTCTTGCCGACTTGGTTCATCTTGAAGGTGTATTCGACATACTCGATCTATATCTATGGTTAAGGTAAGCATAAAACCCCATGAAACACTCTTAAAGGCAAACAATCGTTTTCTGTTTAATTGGTTGGGCAAAAATACCTTATTCTTCAGTAGTTTTAGGTCAGTGCCTGTCGGGTTTACAACTGTTTACTTTCCTGAGAGGTGTTGAGTAATTAACAGACTAATTAATAACTCAACACTGCATGGAAAAGTAAACAGTTGTAAATCCACCATGCCTCATCTTATCTAGACAAAACCATTTTATACTATGCGACAATGGGAACCCAATATTTTTCGATGATTATTAACATATTTAAACAAATTGCCAACAATGGTTTGAAACTAAATATTAAATACAGAAACTTCACTAAAACAGTACAACTACTCAATACCCGAATTCTAGTGTGGTTTAATGGACTAGAGTAAGGCATTAAGTAATATATTGAAACAAGTCCGAGACCATTAAAAAAACTTAAAATACAGACACTCGCTCGTGCTTTGCAATGAAATAGAAATGAAATGAAATGAAATGAAATAGGGTTTAACGTCCTACTGTTCTGCTCCTAAACTGGGCTAATGAAGACGGGCATACGCCATGCAGTGTGCTATGAGGGAAATTTTGCCCGGGCAGTAACGCCACAGCCTACTCTTATTTCAAATTCCAACTGCCAAGGGATCTTTTACGTGCACGCCAATGTGTACACGGGACCTCGGTTTTTCATCCCATCCGAATGACTAGACCGCGGTCCTTGTCAGGCCCTCCGTCCTGCATCACTGACAAGGGGAAACCACGCAGCAATGAAATACATCACACGGGTCCAAAATTTTAACTCGTATAAATAATGTATGCTTGGCACATTGCCCGTACCATTATGTGAAATAATGGTCCACAAACATCAAAGGATAAGGTCACATCTGTATTTTATCTGTAATTAGGTGATTCAATGGTTATTCTGAATAACATGAAATACAACATTTGATATATACTCAGCCAAATTAAAAACTTGACACTGATGAATTTCAACAAATTTTTTTTTCTGGTAAGTCAAATAAATTTTAAAGTGTTTCTAACGATAGTAAGTAGTAAGAAGCCTTTAATTTCATAAAATTGTAAAGTCACGTGATCCACACTTTTGAGCATATAAAGATAAAAAACCTGAAAAACACGTGCAAACACAAACTCGTGAGGTCAATCGATGCAAGTTTGCTTAAACTGAACACGCACACTTAACTTGAACTGGAAAAACAAATTAAAATTGTTATTTTCATCCTTGTTAGAAAATGCCGCGCCTTTCAAATGTAGAACGTCTACGTGCTATAGGTAGGCCCTATGCTGGTCATTCTGTGGTCACTGTTGCAAGAGCCTTTAATTGTTCACGCCAGACAATAATTAATCTTAGAAAGAGAGTGCTTCAAACTGGAACTATTGCCGACCGCCAAAGATCGGGAGCGCCACGTGTGACGTCACTCCAGGAAGATCAAGGAATACGATTACGTCATCTTACAAACAGATTTGTCACTGCAACCTCCACATGTAGAGAGATGTTTGGTGGAAGGGTAACTGCACAAACTGTTCGAAATCGCTTGCAGGCTGCTGGTCTTCAAGCTTGGAGGCCCTATAATGGACCAATATTGACACCTCTTCATCGCCGTAACCGACTTGTGTGGGCCACAAGACACATAAGATTTACTCAAAGACAGTGGAATTCGGTTGTCTTTAGTGACGAATCTCGATCCACTTTGAGATTTGCCGATGGCAGGGCCCGAGTGTACCGCAGACGAGGTGAACGTTACGTTCAAGTATGCGTCAGAGAAGTTGACCGATTTGATGGCGGCAGCGTCATGGTTTGGGGTTCTTTTTGTGCACATGGACGTTCTCGTCTTGTCCAAGGGAACTTAAATGCTGTCCAGTACAGGGATCAGATTTTGCAACCCGTTCTTCTTCTGTTTATGCAGAGACATGGGCCTGGACTAACGTTTCAACAAGACAATGCTCGACCCCATACAGCAATAGCTACCCAGAATTTTTTAAGAAATGCCGGTGTCCAAGTCCTGGATTGGCCGTCGCTTAGCCCCGACCTTAATCCTATTGAACACATCTGGGACGAACTGGGTCGACGTGTTCGTCAGCAAGTGAATCCACCAATGACGTTGCAGGACCTTCAATATGCTCTTGCTGAGCAGTGGCGACGTCTTCCTCGGGTAGTGTTTACTAATGTTCTGAGATCCATGAGAAGATGTTGTGTGGCAGTACGAGACACTAGAGGAGGCCACAACCGTTACTAAACACTTTATTCCGATTGTTCTCCAAGTCTGTGAATTTCATTTTGGGGGGTACTGTGACATCACGAACATTATCAATGTCAAGGACTTTCAGCGAGACGTATTCTTGCTTTCTGTTGATGTCAAGGTCGTCTGTGCACAACATAACACTAAAATAGTTGCCTTAAACCAAATATTAAAAATCTAGTCCCCAAAATCCCGAGTGTCAAGTTTTTAATTTGGCTGAGTATATTTATTTTCTTGATAGTTATAATGCATCTTTAAGCCTATTCTCACTTTTTTTTCGTAGCTACCGATTTCCAGAGATGTTTCCTGATGTAACACATATAAGAGATATGCAGACAGAATTAGACCAGGTTATCCAGCAAGGTGTAAGACAATTAACAACCTTACTCAAGTCACGCGAAAGTACCATGTCAACAGGAACACAAGACATTGAGGACGAATTTGAAATTAAAGTGAAAAAATCAAAAAGAAAGCATAAACTGAGATTAGACAGTTTAGTAAATGAATTAACAAAGATAGACAGTTCCGATAACAATGTAGATAAACAAAAATATGGTGGGCTTACAGGGAAACTTATAGGAGATGGGCTTATAACTTCTACAATGGCTGATAAAATGCACGAAGAATGGGCTAAAAAAATTAACAAAAATAAAAGTGATGATTAACAGTATCTGTGATTAAAATAATTCTTACCTAACTAATAGTGATAATTTATTATTTTATTGCCAGTTTTACACTATACCAGAAGTTGTGGAAGGAAGCATCCAAGTCATTATCATATTAAAGTAGGTAAACAAAAGAGACACTAACACTGTTTTCATAGTCAGATATATATAATTATATCTGACTATGAAAACAGTGTTAGTGTCTCTTTTGTTTACCTACTTCAATATTTATCTAGTGAAGAACACTTCCGTATCGGATTACTCGATCTATTGTTTTCATATTCCTGTTGGACGCGGATTCTACACTAGTTTTGCTCATTATCATATGACAGTTAAGCTTTTGGATTCTGTGTGAAATGTCATCTAATTGTGACAGTATTTATCTTTATAGGACATACAATTGCTAGACATCTTTTTTTCCGAATCAAGAAAAAAATGTGGATTCCATTGGATTTTATATGTTGATTTGTGGACTAAACAATCTGTTTTCTATCGAAAATTTTGTGTCTATATTTTCAAGTCAAAATTGAAACTCAATTTTCGAAACAAGTCCACTTTCTCTTAATCTTTCAAAACAAAAATTTAGTGGTATAGAACTTGACCAATTACTAATCCATCAAATAAACCCAAATAAAAACTTTATTTTAACCTAAATCAAATAGATTTATGTTGATGATATTGCTACTAAGCAGTTTTGTGTGTACCAGTTGGGGGAGACCCAGTGGTTCAGTGAATAAGGCGAAGGCTTGCTAGCCACGAGGCCTTGGGCCTGATGTTGGCTGAGAAATAGGACTTAGCCAAACCTTAAAAATCGGTTTGACTATGAACTTTGAAGTGTATTTTATTGAACAGTTTGTTTCAAATACTCTTTAATTACAAGAGAGAGAGAGAGAGAGAGAGAGAGAGAGAGAGAGACACTCTTAACTGGCTCAATTTTATTTCAACAATTCACTTGTGCATAGGGGTCTTTAGCAGTGGGAGGAAACTGGAGGACCCAGAGAAAACCCAGCAGGTTGGACAGGCGACCCTACTTCTTGTCACGTATAACCGGGGAATCGAAACCACGCCATTTGACTCAATGAGAGACTTTATGATACAGCGCGCGCGCACCCACGCTTACCGTTCATCCATCCAATCCCCCTTCTACCCCACAATGCCATGGATAATGATACTTGGCAATAAAAACACCCTAGAACTCCATTGGTCAGTTCCGAATAGGTTCATTTAATATAATCTGGCAGACCACACCAAGCAAATTAATCCCCAGAGAAAATTGCCGAAAATGCACACACAACAGACTTCATTATGGTTCAACGCTAAAACCCTTACTAGAGTCATCTCCCTTGAATTCAATGTCCGATTTAAGCACAAGCCCCAACTTCGGCGGATTTACCTGTAGGCTTGTCAGACTGAAGCCTAGGGCCTTCAAGATCTGGAAAGTTGTTGGGGGGCGGGGGGACTCGGGCTCCGGCCAAGGTGGATAATATTGTTGAAACTGTCGTTTAATTCTTACAAGCAGTGTAGTCTTAAAACATCCATCATCATCCTCGGCTCTGAATTATTTTTAAAACACACTTTCATCTACATCTTTTTCAATATCAGGGTGGTTTTAAGGTTCATGTACAACTATATCCTTGTCATCACACGGTGCTTTTCAGGTCTTTGATGTTAAATATGTCTGTTAATTGGTTGAACTCTTCTAATGATTAGTAATAAGAATGGTTTCGCATTGTACATATATATAGACCCTCAAGTTTACTAAATGTTATTGTGCTTGATAACGATAAGAGAATACTTATCGAAACGTCGTGCCTGTGTATAATATACCAGTGATTGTTGTCCCATATAACTGTATAGTTTTGTTTTGATCTATTCGTGAGGTTGGGGGATTTGGAAGGGTTTTATAAGTAGAAGAGTATAAGGCCTCCCTTTATCTAAATCCGGCACCGCCACAATCCGTAATAATTTCATGTTTTATTTTTGGAATAGGCCTACAACAGACTGCTTCCAAATAATGTATAATATGCAAACTTCTTGTAGATGTTCTTTAGGTGAATTTCTTGGCCAATCTTAGCTCAGGCTAAAAAAAATAAGCAATTGGATTTGTCGATGATTTGATTCTAATTAAGGGTGCAGAATGTTCACGTTTTGACTGACCACAAGACTTTAAAGCCAAAGATAAATCAAACGCATAATCTGATTCACAGAAGCAATCACTACCTAGTCAACACGAGAAAGCTATCCCAGTAAATTTCTGTCCTACCATCCGCGAGGCAACTTTCTACAGGGATACCTCATATATTTATCCAGTGTGCTTCAACATACTTTATATACCGTATAGACACGTCATACCCACGCGTACATGTAACGTCATTTGGCCCCTTATGTTTGTGCGATAACGATATTATTTGGTTATTTAAAGGGATCATGCCGGTTTTAATGAACACAGATCTAGCATTGTTAAGGGACAATATTGGTGTCAGTCATTATCACATATGTGATAGAACTGGTTAAGTTAAACACGTTCCAAATATAATTTTAACACAGAGACCATTGCTACAATAGATATGGAACGAAGATTTGATGAAACGGAAGTGACGAAAGCAAAAGGAACACACGAGTTATACTTAAGTATAGAATGAATAAAAACAAGGGAATGTACGGGCTGTTTCTATTTTGCTCATATTTAGTGACATTTAGTGACACCTCTTGTTGTTTAACGTTGAGGTGTACATTTCCAAAAACATTAAATAATTGGTAAAGGACTTTTGAGCCTTTTACAGATAGTGCTTTCTGTGTATTATTAAATCTACCGTTGGAAGTGAAAGGTACACAAACTTCATTCATATTTAACATTTTGTGTAAAAGGCAGGGGCAAATGCGCAAGCAAATGGAATCCACCCATGAACTAGTGATACTCTTTTTTTAAGTTTCATCTAAATCGAATAAAATTGTGACCTCTAGATGGTCCACAGCCTGGGTATTACATGATTTTATTATACTATTTTCGAAAAGGGGGTGGCTATTTGACGGGGAAGTTTCGGTCCGATTTTGCGGAAATAATTATTATTGTGTAACGGTGATATATTTGAACAGTTTTGAAAATAAGATACAAATTATGACCTCTATAGGACCCGTAAGCTAAAAACGTGATGTTCCTACAATCAGGGGATCAGAATCCAGAAAGTTACGGTCCAATACGAGCCAATATCGAAGAAACCCAGATCTTTGGGATATAAATATTTATTTTAAATTTCATCAAAATTGGATAAAAAATTCGAACCGCTGGATGGTCTACAACCTGGGTATTACGACCAGAAATGAAATGAAATGAAATGGGGTTTAACGTCCTACTGTTCTGCTCCTATACTGGGCTAATGAAGACGGGCATACGCCATACAGTGTGCTATGAGGGAAATTTTGCCCGGGCAGCGGCACTATCGCCTACTCTTATATCGAATTCCAACTGCCAAGGGATCTTTTACGTGCATTCCAATGTTTACACGGGATCTCGGTTTTTCGTCTCATCCGAATATTACGACCAGATCCTAATGTTAAAGCTACTGGCAGATTTCGTCAAGGTCACGACATGTAAACAGGGTTAGGGCAAATGATTGTTGCAGAGGATTGTGAGTTAGGGTAAGGGTTAGATCTTTGGTTAGGGTTTGCACTAGCCCTATTTACATCTCGTGACATTGGCGAAATCTGCAGATGGCCTGAATATTAAGATCTAAACTGAATATTATATGCTTTTAGGGGAGCGGCCATTTTGTCGGGCAGCACGGTCACATTTTCAGGAAATGTGAACTCAGCCGTAATTATGGTGTAACGGTGATATATTCTAATGCCTTTTAAATCGGATAAAAATTGTAACCTCTAAAGGGACCACAAGCTAAAAACGCGATTTTTCGTACAATCAGGGGCTATAATCCAGAAATAACAATCAGATATGCGCGAATATGGAAAGGAACCAAATATATATTTCAAGTTTCATGAAAATTGTGACCCCTAGTCTAGGGTTAGGGTTAGTGAAATAAAATTTCACTTCATTGCTGAGTAATTTTATTAGCCAGAAATCGCTAAGAAAGCGTCTCCGACGATCTAGATCCCCAAGAGCTTCCGGGGCCTAGGCGGCCCCTGGACCCTCGTCTACGGACCTAGTATGGTAGCCCCCCCCCCCCCCCCAATCAAGAATTGCTTCCGCCGGCCCTGCACTATGAACTTCAACTGTGTGTTAAGGATTAAAAGTTCTTGGATCAGTTCGACTTTGGTAGTATCAGACCTTACATTCTAGAGCTATAGCCCCTGCTTTTCACGCAAAATCTGAAGTATGTACGGATTTTGTAGGCACTCCAGGTGGAGGGGGGGGGGCTACCATTGTTGTCCCGTTCTGATGATCTTGAATGATAGGATAGCCCTTTTGATTTAACCTCTTCCCCGTCAATTTCTTACAAAATGTGGGCATATCTTGCACGGCAACCGCTTGTTTCAACTGGCCATAGCAGTGAATTATTTGATGGATAAGGGACACAAGGAAAGAGTATACATAAAACTCCATCCCGTCGTTTTTCTAATTACCTAATATATCATAGATACAACAGACATGAGATGGACTTGAAATAAAGATCGACCGTTCAGTTATCCATGGCGACCCTCGCAACCGCGGGTCTCTTAACCCTGGGAACAGTATAGAGCATAGCAGGGTTTTCTTCTTCTGAAAGTCTACGTTCTAGAAGTCTTACTTCTACTCACTTCTATGTTAAATTCAAGCCTTTTTGTTTTTAATAGAATAGTTGTTGCGTGCAACAACCTGGAGAAAAGGGTACTTGCGGCCGGGCCTAGGAAGACAACTCTATTCCTAAAGATGTAAAGGTTTTTACACATCGAACCCTATTATTATTATACACGAATTCATTATTGCAACACCTTTAATGTCCTCGTAAAAATATAAGAATTTTAGTCTTTTCTGTGTTAACAGTTGGCTTCCATTTATTACAATTTAAAGTAATCTATCTAGTAAATGTTTGCTACTCCTT